GTGCTATAATATGTGTAAAAAAACCATCTGTATAGCTCAGACTTCATAGAGCAATGAGACGCCAGTTCTGGCTGAGGAACTCAGTTGAAGTCATTTAAGTTGTGTAGCAAAACTAGTAACTTTGGAATGCATAGCAGGGGTTAAATGGGTGGTGAGAAGAGGAATTTAATGGGGGAATTTATTTAGACTTTTTTTAGTAGGTTGTTACAGTGCTGTTTGTTTGTAAATATACTTTGAGCTAGTTGGAAATTTTATAATTTGTAACTAGACAGCTAAATTATAAATAGGAAGCTCATGGTAGTAACTCTTAGGAAGTAACTTGATATTAATAAAAATATTGTACATTAGGAAAAGATTTTTTCCAGTTGTGAACATGTTTGTTGAAATCTTTGCGGCATGAAGATTCTTAATTTGTATGTGAACTTAATGCATTTTTTGTATTTTTGAAAAAACTAGAAACATTTTTGAAAAAACTAAAACCAGGCCCTTTATCGCAAATGTTATAACTTGGACAAAATGCCTTTTAAAAATATTTTGTAAGTTTAGATGAATTACTCCAAATTGATTAAATCTTTTTAGTCATTCTGCAGCATACATCAAACATGGTAATAAAAAAATAAAAATGCAAGATATAAATTTCTTGAGCATTCGATGTTTTCTGTATGAGAGATTATGTAGATTAGGAGCATACATTTTCTATGAGACCATCTCATAAGGAAAATGCCCCTTAACAAGGATTGTTTTATATTTCTGTTATAAAAGTGAATTGGTTAAAAATATTAATTGCCTTACATATAAGACTAGGATAGATATAGTGGGAGAAACAAAGAAGTAAGTGAGAAATTGCTAAAGGAATTTATAATGTGTGTGAAATAAGAGATATACATGTAAGATAATGTCATCAGTGTAGAACAAAAAAGAAGTGATACAGATGATAGGTGCTAAAGAAGTTTAAAGAGATAAACCATTGTGGATTACATATTTATTATTTATGCCCTGCTCTATTTGAAGTAAAGACAGTGTCTTGACTTTAGTGGATTGGGGAGGGAATTTTGAATTTTTGGTAGGTATATAATAAGATGAGATAGGATTGTAGGAAGGTTAATCAGTGGTGGAAGAACTTTTCTTTGGAAGGAAAGTTATGACCAACCTAGACAGCATGTTAAAAGGCAGAGACATTACTTTGCCAACAAAGGTCCATCTAGTCAAAGCTATGGTTTTTTCAGTAGTCATGTGTGGATGTGAGAGTTGGACTATAAAGAAAGCTGAGGCCCGAAGAATTGATGCTTTTGAACTGTGGTGTTGGAGAAGACTCTTGCGAGGCCCTTGGACAGCAAGGAGATCCAACCTGTCCTTCCTGAAGGAAATCAGTCCTGAATATTCATTGGAAGGACTGATGCTGATGCTGAAACTCCAATACTGTGGCCACTTGATGAGAACGGACTCATTGGAAAAGACCCTGATTCTGGGAAAGATTGAAGGCAGGAGGAAAAGGGGACAACAGAGGATGAGATGGTTGGATGGCATCACTGACTCAGTGAACATGAGTTTGAGTAAACTCCAGGAGTTGGTGATAGACAGGGAAGCCTGTCAATGGGATGCTGCAGTCCATGGGGTTGCAAAGAGTTGGACACAACTGAGCAACTGAACTGAGGTAAACTGAATCAGTGGTGGTGGGTATGAGGGTATGGCCATAGGAAAGGTTAGATATGAATAAAAATGAAGGAGGCGTAGAAATACTCGAGAGGTAAGGGGAAATGGTCTGAGATGTGGGAATAGTGATAGGAATGCGTGGAAGACAATTTGAAGGGAATAATGAATGAAAAGATGTGAGGATGAGGAAGATAGTACACTATGACTCTGTGTGTTAAAACTTAAATTATAATGTAGAAAGTAAAGATCAGTATTTGTGGGAAAGACTGTAAAAGTTGTTTTCAGAGTATAGATACAAGTATGTTAGGCTAAAACAATAATTTATAATTTAAAGGTATAATTTATAATTTAAAGTTTATAAGGATTCATTTTTTCTTTTGTTTACTTTCTGCTGTTTTGCTTGCTTAGTTGTTTTGGTTCTGTGATTTATTATCAATCAGAAAGTTTATTGTGTGTGTGTGTATATAGCAACATGACTAATTAGCATTCTCTCATCATTGAGACAGATTCTAGAACACTTGCTTACAAGAGAGAGAACAGCATCTGAATAAAGACAAGTAACTAGTTGTGGAGTAGAAAAGTCAGAAATACGAAAAACACATTATAGAAAAGAGATATTTTTTAAAGTTTATACTTTTTTATAATCTACTTTGAAATACTTTGCAAAATGGCATAATGATTGGAAACAGACTAAATGTGTGGAGAGTCTAGTGGTGACTTTACATTTATTTAACAAATGCCAAAGAAGAGCTAGAAACTGAAAATAACCCAGATATCCATTGATAAGAAAATAGAAAACAGTGTTATAGTCATACAGTTGAATACTATTCAGCAATGAAAAGGAATGAACTATTGATTGAAGCAGCAGCAGCAGCGATGAATAGCAAAAACATTGTGTTGAGTCAAAGAGCTTTATACAGAAGAATATTAACTGTATGATTCTATTTATATGAAATTCTGGAGCAGACAAAAACTCATCTCTTAGGAAAAAAATCATAACCATTATTATCCTGGGCTTCCCAGATGGTGCTAGTGGTAAAGAACCCTCCTATTGATGTAGGAGACACAAGAGCCCCTGGAGGAGGGCGTGGTAACCCACTCCAGTATTCTTGCCTGGAGAAGCTCATGGACAGAAGAGCCTGTAGGGCTCCAGTCCGTGGGGTTGCAAAGAGTTGGACATGTTAAAACAGCTTAGCATGTATGCATCATTACTCTTGTAGGGTAGAGGTGAGGGATTAATTAGGAAGTGACATGAGAAAACTTTCTGAGGGTGAGTGTTCTGTATCTTAATGAAGGTTTGGGTTACATGGGTGTATACATTTCTCAAAATGCATTAAATGGTATGCTTAGGGTTTGTCTATTTCATCATATTTAAATTTTACCTTAAATATGTAAGCAAATATTAAACTTCAGTTAATGATAAGCATGCTGAAGAGTTTAAGGGCTGACAAATACTGATGTTTGTAATTTAAATTGCATCAGAAATGATGGATGGATAAATACTGGATAGATATTAATAATTATATAGAACTATTTTTCTTATCATGATATTTTCTAAATCAATATAGTAAAATGTTGAGTCTCAGTATATGGGTGTGCAATGTACAATTATTTCAAATTTTCATATATTTGAAAATGTCACAATAAAATGTTGGATGAAATTAAAAGAACTTTGAACACATATTGAACCTTTGGATGGCTGTGATTTACCAATATGGGAGGTAGTAAAACAGTGTTAAAAGGCTGGGGTCCTGAATCAGAACTTTGAGTTTGAATCCTATTAGTTGAAGCTTTTTTTTTTTTTGGAGTCAGCAATGGATTTTATTTTATTTTATTTTTTTAAATTAATTAATTAATTTATTTTTTATCACAACCATAGTGTATCTTTTTTTTTTTTTTTTACATGTATTCCCCATCCCAGTCCCCCCTCCCACCTCCCTCTCCACCCAATCCCTCTGGGTCTTCCCAGTGCACCAGGCCCGAGCACTTGTCTCATGCACCCAACCTGGGCTGGTGAACTGTTTCACCCTAGATAATATACGTGTTTCGAGTTGAAGCTTTTATTAGTTTCGAGAACTTGGGCAAATTGTACTGAGCTTTCCTCTATTCTAAAATGTGAACAATATCTTCATCATAGAGTTTTATGAAGATTAAGTGGGTTGAATTGTATAAAATACTTATCAAGATGCTTGGCATATAATAAACTTAATAAGTTACTTTAAAGTGTCAAAGGAACTTACAAAAACATTGCAATTAAAGCCATAATTTTATTGTCCTGTAAGAGTCAATTCTGATAAATAAAATACCTTCTAGCAAATATTGGATATATTTTCAATACTTTCAAAGATAGAAACTATGAAAGTAAAATATTTTAAAATATTTAAGCATTTTCTTTTACTTCCATAAAAGATAGGGCCCTAGAAAGAAAAAGAAGATATTTTTTTTTCCTTGTAGATTTCTTAACTTCAGTGTTATTCAGCACATTTGTTGCATGCTATTGCTGAGATCCTGAGCTAGGTGATAAGGAAGCAAAATTGAGACAGGGTTCCTACCCACAAGGAGTTTATAGTCTACTATTTAATGCTTCACTGTTCTTTAGAGACTAAACACCAGACCAGCAGGATGAAATGTGCCTTTAGATACTTACTTTACATTAATTTTAAATAGTATAATTTAAAATTTTAATAATTATTAAATCCAGAATCTAGATATGGGATAAATAAATGTCTAGGACAGCACTGTCCAATAGAACTTTCTGTGATGATCAAACTGTTCTGTATATGTGTTGTTCAATATAGTAACCACAGGTTATGTATGGGTGTTGAGCACTTGAAATGTTCCTAGTGCAATTGAGAAGACACAGTTTTAATTTAGCTTAATTTAGCTACATGTGTCTGGTAGGTACCAGATTGGACAGTGCATCTCCAGAGTCTATATTTCTCAAACTGTCTGAGGAAAAAGACTAGTTATTTCAAATTTCAAATCTCTTATGGACCAATATTTTTGTAAAAATGCAATAAAAATTACTGCAAGGATGAAATGAGAAAAAAATTACAGTCATGCAAAACACCATCTCATTTTTGAAATAGATACAGCAGACATAAAATTAATCTGTCAAAATTGCTGTAAAAGTTTCTAAACACTCTGTATTGTTATCGTGTGCCAGTGACAAATAGTTTTTAGACCAGCCGTGGTCATGGATCACATTTTGAGCTAGGTAGAGTCTTTTTTTTCCTGATGTGCCTAACACATAATTTCCTGAACCAACTCTTTGTTAATATTACTGGTAGAGATAAATTTTTTACATATTTAAGTATAATTCGGTAATGTGTTTACTGATATCACAGTTAACACTCCTTACAGCAAGCCTTGTCCAGGACAGCAGAATATTGACATTGTAATGTGGTCATCTTCAAGGTAGACCGGGAAGGCTTATTTGATCCAGTGAGGCCATTTTTGCAGTTGGAGATATAAGCTGAAAAATCCTTCCTCCTATAAAGTTCAGCTCGATACTTACAGCAGCCAAATTTGCTCAGCAACAGAAAGAAATCCCTTCGGAATGCCTTTGTGAAAATTGCATATAGAAACGGATTGGCACATGAATTGACAGGATAAAAGAGAACCAGTAGAACCTTTGAGTTGGTTACTGTAATGAGGGGCACTTTGAAGGCAGCTGAGATGGCAAAGAAAGAGATTGGTGCCATGCAGGTGAAATCGGTGAAGATGAGGACCGCCATTTTCTTAGCAATCTTTGTATCTCTGTTGGTGGCCATCAGCTCTGGATTTTGAACTGCGAAATAAATTTTAATGTAGCAAGCACAAATGATGACGAAGGCCAGCACATTGAGAATCAGGGTGGTTAAGATGTAGACCTGTGAGAGGGTGGTTTCCACATCCATGGGGAGGCAAATGCTGACCTTCATGTAACTGCTGACACCCACAAGAGGCAGCATGGCAATGAGAGAAGAAAAGAGCCAGCCTCCGAGCATGACTGGGATGGCATGTTGCAGTCGCAGCTTTTGGTCCAGTTGAATAGCGTAGGTGATGGTGTGCCATCTTTCTAGTGTGATGACTGTGAGGGTGTAGACAGAGAGTTCACTTGCAAAAACAGTGAAAAAGCCGGCCGCGCTGCACCCACTCCCTGTCTGCCAATCTATGGCGTGGTTATAGTACTGGCCTTTGGTTTGGGCATCGACTGAGGCAATGAGGAGCAGGTAGAGCCCCATGCACAAGTCTGCAAAGGAGAGGTTGCACATGAGAAAGCGGGGCACTGTGAGTTTATAGCGACTAGTCAGGAGGACAAAGAGGACAGTCACATTCCCCACGATGGCCAGGATATTAATCAGCCAAATCAGGACTCTAAGGAAGTCATAGCCCATAATGTCTTCACAGGGATTGAAAGCATCTGGTTCAGGAGCACACTGGAGTGTCTTGGGTAAGCAGAAACCATAGTCATAATCCCAGCCACTCAGTTCACTCTCAGCAAAGACGGCGGAATAACTGTAAGAAGAATATTGCGACTCAGTGTAAACTTAAGAGGTTTTCTATGATTCTGGCTGTTGAAAAAAATTTAGACATCGTCCCTGGTGGTTTTTTGTTTTCTTTTTTTAAGGAGAGCAAACTAAAGGAAACAAAGTCAAAACAGCCTTAATCTTATATTTATTTGTTATCTGAGAACTCCGAAATGGTGTAGGAGTTCCTTAAGAAGGGAGTGAAAAGCCATTTAGATTTTTTTTTTAATATGCAGATTTTACACAGTGATGCAAGGATTTAATGAAGCTGTTTACAGAGCATTCTTTTCTTTGGAAAACAAATTTAGAGACATAATCTATGCTTGCTCAATCTAAAAAAACTTTCTTGACATTTTCTTAGCTATTTATCTCCTTTAGTTGCTAACCAAACTGCTATCAAGCTGTTTGTCTGCAATAGAACACAAATGGGATTGAAAGGCTCACACTGTTGAAGATTATCAGCTTTAGGAGGACATGCTGAAGTCCTTAGCTAATCAAGCAGCCAAGTTGAGAGATGGAACCAAGGTTAGGTTATTCAGTAGAAATTTAGGAACAAAGGAAGAATAGAGTCATGAACAATAGAAAGAAATAGTTGAAAACAGATAATTCTTATCTTAGGATATGAGTCAAATTCAGATATGAGTCTGACTGGAGAGGGACTGCGTCCCTAGTGAAGGAATAGTCCCACTCTGACACTCCCTTTCTCCCAACCCCACTGCTACTGCTTGAGTTCAGATTTTCATTCTTTCTAATGGGACAGTGACATTAGTTTCCTTCTTGGCATCCTTTCCCCAATTTTAGCCCTCTCCTAGTCGATCTGTATATTCCTACTGGAATGGCCTGTCTTATGCACAACATGTTAATTCACACATTACTTAGTTTCTCATTGGCTATGGGATAAACTCCAGATTCCTTGTGAGGACCTCTAAGTCTCTCCTTAATCTGCATTCTGTCTCCTTTTCTAACCTCATCTCTAAGAAGCTGTGTGTGTACATGCACATGCATACCCAGTCGTGTCTGACACTTTGCCACCCCATAGACTGTAGCCCACCAGGCTCCTCTGTCCATGGAATTTTCCAGGCAAGAATACTGGAGTGGGTTGCCATTTCCTATTCCAGGGGATTTTCTTAAACCAGGGGTCAAACCTGCATATTTTCTGCCTTCTGCATTGGCAGACCTGTTCTTTACCTGTAGCTTGCCCTGAAGAAGCAGTAGTACTGTACAGTTCAGAACAGGCTCTGGAGCTAGACTGCCCGGGTTCCAGCCTTTACACAGCTTTTACCAGCTGTGTAAACTGGTTCCAGCTTTTACCAGCTGGGAGAGTTATTTGACATCTCTGTTCTTCAGTTCTTCATTTGCCAAATAAGGACAGTAATCACACCCCCCTCACTGGATTGTGCTAAAGGATTAAATGCATTAAAACATGTAAAAACTTCAGGATAATGCCTGATACCTAGTAAGTACTCAGTGACTGTTAAAGATCCTTATAATTATCTCTTGCAAATACTTTGTGCAACCCTTTGGTCACATGAAAAGACTTGTGGCTCTCAGAACAGGTTTTACTGTTTTTTCTTCCCCCTTCTCCCTCATTTCTCTGGAGAATTCCTCCTCATCTTTGAAGATAATTGTCTCTATGAAGCCTTTCTTGATTCTACACCTCTAAGGAGTTTATCACCCCTCCTCTCAGCTGCATTTACCATTGTAATTCTCAAACTAACATGGCCATTATGTGATGATACATGTCTTATTTAATAGTATATGAAGCTATTCTTTAATAACCATGAAGGCAGGGGACTACATCTTGTTTATGTCTGAACTCTCAGTGCTTCACACAGTTTTGTCCCAGAGTATTCATTCAATAAGTGTGGTGGAATGAATAAACCAGGGTGACGCTGGCTTGGGAAGGAATTGTGAGGCTGCAGGAACAGTGGGTGATACAGTATGATGCATGTGTGTGCTGTGCTCAGTCACGTCTGACTCTCTGTGAGCCCGTGGACTGTGGCCCAGCAGGCTCCTCTGCCCATGGAATTTTCCAGACAAGAATACTAGAGTGGGTTTCCATTTCCTTCTCCGGGGGATCTTCCACTGAACCCTCCTGCCTTGGCAGGCAGATTCTTTACCACCTGGGAAGCCCCATGATGCATGTAGGTTTGACAAATTTTCTCTTTGCCCACAGTCAGCTAGTATAATCTTGAAAGGTGGAGAAATGGGCATAATTTTTCTGTCAGGGTCATTACAAATATACATTTCACCCCAGAGTTTCTCACACATTAAAAGAGCATTTTTCTCAACTCTCAAAAATTCTCATTTTCTGTAGAAGGGAGTGTGTACCTAATACAGTTACTGGATAAAATGATATATTTGAGCAACACAACTACCTAAGGGAAAGAACATAGATTTCCAAAAATGGGAAAAGAAATCTATGACGTGGGACACCAAAAAAGGTGCTAGAATGTCACAGAAACCAAACTGAAACTGGAAAAGTACTACTGCCTCTCACAGGAGACTGCATAGGAAACTCACTTGTTTTATTATTAAATATACCTAGCATATTTGTTTGTCCTCGTCCCATGCACATCAGTATAATTATCTAATTTTTAAATCTTTAAAGAGGTAATGGTGGTTATCAGAACGATGAAGGACCTGGGAAAAACCCTTCATTTTACTGGTAAGGAGACTGAGATGAAAGGAGGTGAGGCCATGCCCCAGATCCCTCAGCACTGGGCACCAGTGGCAACACAAGGTCTTCATATGCATAGTCCAGGGGACTTTCTCCTACTTCACCATCTCTCAGGGTTTTTCAAGGTGTGGACCTTGGACCACTTCCATCAGAATCACTAGAGTGTTCATTACAATGCAGATTCTTGGCTTCACTTCAGACCCTGAATCAAACTCTCTAGGGACATAGCCCAGGAATCTGCATTTTAAGCAAGTTCTCCAGATGATTCCTACAAAATAACAACCTTTATTACATCACATGAGAACTTTCCAACTATTGTTGCCTTAGTTTCCTCTACTATGTTCCCCTTATCAAAATAGCTCCAGCTGCTACTAGAAGCACTAATTTAAAGACATTAAAAATTCTGCCATGGTTTCTAAATAAACTTAAATCACTAAGAGATCAAATAGGTTTCCTTTCCCACTCCCCTGGTCCTTTTCTCTTTCTTTTTTTGCCCTACTGGGCATACGTCTAGGTTTTTCTCCCTGGTGATTTGTCTTTGGAAAGAATACCTATCTGTTGCTACTTACGTTTGTGCCCCAGGATGGCTCCTGAGGGCATCAACATGCTTATTGACAAAACCCGGCATGGAGCTGTCTTTAGTACTGAAGGCTGTGCAGAGAGTGTGAATGGACTTGGATGGGCTTAGCAATGTTGAGTCAGAGGAAGGAGAAACAGTAGCACCACTGCTTCAGCAACAATCAACAGACAGGAAAAAAGACAGGGCTTTCAGGAGGACAGTGGGGCCAACCATAGTGGTAAGGACACCAAAATACCTTAGGGAGAGCAGATAAGGCTAGGCTCTAGCAGATAAGGCTGGCTCTAGAATTTCTGAACTCCAGGGGCTCAGGGATAGCAATCTGCTGGGAAGGGAAGGAAGGGGATTTATCACAAGAAATGTTTTCACAGGGAGCACATTCTTTTTACTTAGATTATGTGTTAATTTTAGGTAGTTCTGGGGGATGCTGAAGACTAGAGGACTTGTATTAAAACAGTGTTAAAATAGCAGACTCAAGATTGGATGCTTACTTTGGAAGGTGTGGAGTGGTAGGGGCTGATGGTTATTGAGACTGAGCTAAAGTCTCCCCTCCCCTCCAAAACACCCTTTGATGGTACCACTGACTATACCCAAAAGTGGTTTCCTACTGATGAAAAAAACCCACATGATTGCAAAAGTGTTATGTGGAAGGTGATAATGGAGAGAGTATTGAGAGAGAAGAGTGGGAAGGGTGAGGAAAGGGAATGCTGGAGGATAGATGGTGTCAGACCTAAATGAAAGGAGAAAGTAAAGAAGAATATAGATTATAATATAAGGTACCCTAGATACTGTCACAGTCTTTAAAAACTCCCTTTACTCTCATGCTTCTGAAAGCCAAATGATGTTTCTATTGTCCCTTACAGTTGAGGAAAAAAGTCTCAGAAAAGATAAGTATTGTCAAGGGAAACCTAATTTACAGGAACATTAGTGCCAAGAATTCATATCCAAGTCTGAGGAGCTCCAGAGCCCAGAGTCCTTCCATCATACCACTCTGTGCCTCTATATATCTTGCAGATTGATAGGAAAAAAAGAGAAAAGAAAAAAAGATACAGAAGAGAGAATGGAGAGTGGCAGGGTACCTTAGAAGGGCATCTGGTTTGGTTTTGTAGCCTGAGGAAGATGGAGGAGGGGATGGGAGTGGAAGGGAAGTAGTAACACTTGTAAATCACAGTAAATGTGGCATCAGAACACTTTTGAGGCGTGCAGCTTTACAGTTGTGCCAAGTGTCATGCCTTTGGGTTAAATTTCCCCCCAAAGAACCAGCATATTAAGTTATAATTTATGGCCTTTTCTATTTTAATGTGCCTTGACTTACTGAGCCTCATTCTAGTATCAGCAGGCTTCCCGGTGGCTCAGAGGGTAAAGCGTCTGCCTGCAATGCGGGAGACCTGGGTTCGATCCCTGGGTTGGGAAGATCCCCTGGAGAAGGAAATGGCAACCCACTCCAGTACTCTTGCTTGGAAAATTCCACGCATGGAGGAGCCTGATAGGCTACAGTCCATGAGGTCGCAAAGAGTCAGACATGACCGAACAACTTCACTGGTTCCTTTACAATTGAAGTTATATGAAATGCCAAGGGAGTAGAAAAATGTTTTTTTTTTTAATCAGGGGCTTCCCTGATGGCTCAGTGGTTAAGAATCTGCCTGCCAACGCAGGGGACACAGGTGTGATCGCTTTCTGGGAAGATCCCACATGCCAGGGAGGAGCTAAGCCCCTCTGCCGCAACTGTTGGGCCTGTGTCCCAGAGCCTGGGAGCCGTGACTGCTGAGCCCGTGTGCCACACCTACTGAAGCTGGTGCCTCTGCGAGCCCGTGCCCTGCAACAAGAGAGGCCACCACAACGAGAAACCTGCCCACCACGAAGGGCAGGCCCCGGTCATCACAACTAGAGAAAGCCTGACTAGCAACGAAGACCCAGGACAGCCCCAAATAAATACGTCTTTTAAAAATACAAGTCAGTAGAATAGAAATGGAGTGCCCATTCAATATGTGTCAGTGATAGTGTGAAGTCTAAATAATTTTAAGCTGTAGAGCATAATGATCAAGGTGGCTAAATCTCTCCGAAGGGAAGTGGCTGCTTCTAGAAGCTGTCTACAATCAGTTAATCTTTGTGGAATGCTGACCACATGGCTAGTGAGAAATCCTTACAAACGAGGCTATCATTAAACAAGCCCTTAGTGACATCAGAATATCTGCAAATAAAATTTTAATTTTGGAAGAGAATTTAATATGACTGTAAAAAGAATATGTAGGTATGTTTTTACAAGTATTTTTTTAACCAGTTGAAAGAAATAATTGATCACCTGGAATGCCTTGTAAAAAAAAAAAACCACACACACCCCATTTTTTTAAAGCTATTAAAACATGCTTTGCAAACATGGCCCCAACCAAGACTTTTATCAAAAGAAAATTGTTGGCACTGATAATCATAAGGTGCCCACAGAATAAGACATGGCTTCCCGAGTTACCTTACATGCAAATACTTACAGTGTTTCATTATTTGGTCTCCTTGCTGTGCTTTCACATTGTTTGGAAAAGTTTTTAAAAATGGAAAATGAAAAATTCTGCCTGAAAGAGGTAAAAAAAAAACAACAACAAACAAACTGTTGAGCTTTTGGTCTTTAAACCTGATCATGTCTGTTTACGCTTTGTTCATCCAAATTCTTTCCCTGTTACACCAGCGCCGTGTTCTGCACCATTGTCCTAACTGAAACACTTCCAGGGGAGAGAGTGAAGCCTTCTGAATTGTCATTAGAGTGCTTCCAGCTTAGATAAAATGCTTCTGAATGCTAAGTGTTTTGTGTGGGCTCTAGAGATGAAAAAACTTAAATTTGTCACATTGAATCATGGATTTTTCAGTGCTCATTAAAAGATAACTTTGTGGTATATTAAGGTTTGCTACTCACCACTCTCCTCCCCACATTGGCCTTGATGAACAAATAACCATTCAGAGTTCATGGCTTTGAATTATAACTGGGAATCTCTCTTGAAAAGATTTAAAGATTCTGGACCTGGCTTTAAAATGATGTGAATTTTCAGCCTTTTTGGCTTTATGTGCAGAAATATAATGTGGTCGCTCCCTATTCCTCCATCTTTTCCTCTAAGAAATTTGGCCTGTGGAAAGGGGTAAATGTCAAGAAATTGAAAGAAGGCTATACTTATACTACTAAGATGAAACCACAGAGAGGCACAAGGGAAAACTGGATGAAGGAACAGAGAAAAGAAGAGCAGGCTGTGAGAACTCCAGCCTTTCCTGAGGAGAAAAGAGAAATGAGGTAATTCAAGATGGGCATTTCTATTTATTATTCTTCTCCAGCATTAACAGGGCTTCTCAGGTGGTGCTTGGGAAGATCCCCTAGAGGAGAGCATGGGAACCCACTGCAGTACTCTTGCCTGGAAAATCCCATGGACAGAGGAGCCTACAATTGTAGCCTACAGGTGGGCTACAATCCACAGATGGACAGGACTGAAACGACTTGGCACGTTAGCAACATTAACAAGACAATCCCTTGTAGGAATGACTTTGTGTAAAAGCAGGATGGTGGAGAATATGTAAGGACTATTGGACCTACTGGACTCACTTTCAGAAATTACTCAGCTTATTATTTCGCTTGTGAGAGAAAGGGGGAGTGAGAAAGAGATTGTGTGTGTGTTTGATGCTGACTCTGCATCTGTTACTTAGAGATACTCCACATGAACCAATCTACAATTAACAGGAAATGTGGTTGTTCTTGGCCTTCAGTTCTGTCTACTCTCTGTCTTTTGGAATTTTAATCAGAGACACCAAGGAGAGTTTGGGGGCCATCTGCCTAGGCAGCTGTGTGGGTTATCCAGGCTCCGCAGCTGCAGGGCAGAGGGCTGACCCAGAGTTTGCACAAACATCCACTGGCCCAGCTTCATGCTCTCCATCCTCACTAGCATCCAAGGTTTCTGACTTCAGAGATAGAGAAGGAGTCAGCTGAAACTTGCTGTTGACTGCATTCCCCTTTCACTTAGTACTGGCCCACAGTTGTGTAATGCCCACCCCACCCCCCCTTATTTTTTTTTTAATCCAGAGGTAGTAGTCTCTTCTTTCATCTGCTGGAATAAAACACCCCTGAATTAAAGCTTTAACATGTCAGTAACTTCAGAAGGGATGCAGCCTCCTTTCCCACAACAATGAAAGTGTCCAGAATCAGCTTTATCCTAAACCAGCATCTGTATTGTGTGTTGTCCTAGTTCTCTCACCAGCTTTGCTCACTTATAGCCCATCCTCCACTTTGCTGCCAGAGTGCTACTTTACAGAAGCAAATCTGAGTGATTCTGTTTTGAATTCTCCAGTGGCCCCGCATCCTCTAAGCGACATCCTTACACTCAGAGCACGTCATAGCTCACCTCTCCCTGGTCTCTGCTCACGCATACTCCTCTCTGTGACCATAAGTTGTCTTGTTCTGCTTTTTCTGAACGACTTTCATTCCATGGTCTCTTGCCTTTGTGCCTTCACAAAAGCTATTCCATCTTCTTGGCATGCTTTCCCTCACACCTATCTAGCTAACTGCTACCTGTTCTTCAGAGCTCAGCAGAAGTCACTTCCTGGGGAAGTCTTCCATAAGCCCCGTTGCCATTTAGAAATTCTCCCTGTGTTCTCCCAGAGTACTATGTTCTGTTCTCAGCTCTATCATAACATTTGCCGTACTGCGCCTAAGTATTGGCTGTCTTGCGTGTTGTCCCCAAGTAGCTGCTCGTGACTCTGATGGTTGGGATGAGCTCTTACTCATCTTTGTAGCTTCAGACTTTTGCACTGTGTTTTTCTGGAACGCGGGGAATACTCAGTTAATGTTCTTTGAAACTCAGTTAGTGGCACACAGCTTTCTGAGCACAGTGAATGGCCTGTCTTCTTGGTTACCCCAAAAACTTCAGGTAGATCCATACCTCCCTACCTATGTGAGGTATGAAAGGGGTGTACAATGATAACATGTGCTGGTTGATTAACTGTAAATAGGTTGATTCCAAAAACAGTTGCATCCTGGTGTCACTCTCTTAATGCCTCATCTAATTAATTGTATGGGAATCTTCTTAGGCTGTATAATATTCTTTTAGGTCGATGTTTTTCCAGCTGTGAGTTGTGACCCGTTAGTGGGTCATGAAAGCAATAAGGTGAATCAAGACTAGCATTGAAAGCAAACAAACGTTAAATAAAATAGACAACAGAATATCAGTGTATGCTGGATAACCAACATAACCAACAAGGTCCTACTGTATAGCACATGGAACTCTGCTCAATGTTATGTAGCCGCCTGGATGGGAGGGGTTTTGGGGGAGAATGGATACATGTATAGGTATGGCTGAGTCCTTTCACCGCTCACCTGAAATTATCACAGCATTGTTTGTCAATCAGCTATACCCCAATATAGAACAAAATGTTAAAAAAAATAAAATTATGCAAAAGAAAGAAAAAAAGAGAATATCAGTGTATCACATGTAAAACAGTTAAGTAGTGCTCTGTTTTATTTCAGTTACATGTGTTGTGTTTACTGGGTTGCAATGTGAAAAAAGCACTTCTTTGTATGCATTACAGTGGGGGAAAAAAACCTGGAAGCGAGTGCTTTAAGGAAAGAATAAAATCCTTCACATCCTGCCATTCCATTCTGGACTGAAGTGAAGTGAATTAATTGAATCAGTAAGACCACCCACTCCCCTCAACCCGGCACTGGTCACAAACCCACAAACCAGCCAGGAGTTTCTGCCTTTTCCATTCCCATATTAAGCTAATCCTTAGGGAGCTAGGATTCTGTTCTATAATAGAAGACAGTCTTCTGCCGGGAGAGAAATGGCTTTTTAAAAAAAGCAGTGAAAACCTTCTGTAGTGTTCTGAGTCTTTTTTTTTTTTAAACTAAAGATTAAGACATTAGGTAAAATTGACCTTATTGAGCCTACTTCCCCCACTTCTTTAGAAATGATGCTCTTTGATAAGGATTAGAGCTAGTTGATCTTTGAGATACCAGTTTTGTACTTCATTTTGCAACTGCAATTATAGCCTGATTTAAGGCTCTAATTGAATTAGCTCAGAATAAGTGATAAGGGTCTTTTAGCTGCAGGTTGAATCGACTCTTTGGAGTCAGTTTTCAGGAGGACACGGGACAGTTCATTTTCTTCTTGTCTATCTGGGAGTGACCCCATGACTATGGTGCTGGTTTAGAAGGCAGGCAGTAAAAGGGCAGGGAGTTGCTGACCAATTGACTATTTTCAAATCTGAGTTTCTGCCACAGCTTGGCAGGCTCTACCTTTTGTTTTTTTACTTACTCTTTTGTTGGCAAGTTCCTAAAAGCACAGCAGTGGCTGGGGTAAGTCAATGTGGCATCCAGGAGGTTGGTAAATTTTTCTCTTGATGGCAGTTTTTTCAGAGAATAGGATGATGTGGCAATTAGTGTCTGAATGGACTCTAGCCCATAGCTAGGCAGGGCCTGCAGTTTAGTGGAAGAAATATCCCTGAAAAGTCAAAAAAGAGAAAGGCTTACTTATTTATTTAATATATTTGATTCATAGAATGAAACTTTGTCTCAACAATAGCATCCTTCTAGGTTCTGAGGTACTTTTTCTCTATCTTGCTTTCTCCCTGATTCTCCGTTTCAGTTACTCTCATTAAGATATGAATTCAAAAAAGCTACGTTGTGTTTTTCCTTATATTCACCCCATTATCCATTCATTAGAATTCCCTCTCTCTCCTGCTTTCTTTCTCCCTCCCTCTCCATCCCTCCACTTAGCCGAAGTAAAATAACCACTTGCTTTATGATAGAGCAGGCACATGCAGTGACATCAGCTTTTGTGCTCTACCCCAGGGGGAAGTATTTAGGCCTTCAGATGCCTCTCTCTTTGTTGATCAAGCGCCACAGAGTAGGTTTTCATGAAGCACAGGCTGCTTATGCTATTAAGAGCCACTATGTGGCATTAGCCATCATCGACCTTCTCTAAAGGCAAACTGGATTCATCAGTCCAAAGCAAGTGAATACTCAGTCATACAAGCAGAATTGTGTGGAAAGCTCAGGATTTTTCAAACAAGGTCCTGAACTCCTTAGTTTTTCTAAACTTGAGGCAATGTGCAAGAAAACTCTAAACAAATTAAATGTGAGAAGGAAGAATCAGTGGGCATTTAAAAATTCTTCCTGTCTTCCTGCTGATACACTCTGAAGATTTTCAGGCAGCACAACCCTCTTCAGCACCATGACCCAATACTTAGTGCCCAGCACATGGGACAGGATCAGTGGGTGACTGATGGACAGATGAACTTGACACCATGGCGTGATGACTAGGGTTGGTCCTTGGTGGAGCAATCAAGGTGGCAGAATTTGCCTCGGGGATGGCAGACTCTCACTGCTTTTCTGCCCTTATTGATTTAGGTAACCAGTGTTCTCATTCTGTTTTACAGAGTTATTCTCTTAGATGTATTAGGGATTGAGTACCTGATTCTTTATAGGACTGGTGAATTTTTTTGCTTTTATTATTTTGGAGTGTAAGTAATATGTTTTAAGTTAGGATTCTATAAATGGCAAGGTCTTATTACAAAGGAGTAAATCTCTGATGATAGATTTTCAGTTTCACTGAGTGACTCGTGGGGGAAATATTTTGGGGGTATGGATGGGAGGAATGCTTGTAGATGCCACTTAAATCCTAAGGGTATAATGCAGATAGTGATTTGGGTAGTAAGAGACCTAAGCCTGGTCCCACTGTTCTGAAAAAGTCAATGTAAATGCCTGCAGGGCTCACAGTCGCTTCTAAGCAGGCAGGCTGAGCAGCTTTTCAAGGGAAAACTGTCACGCTGAGTGTCTTACAACCATACTCATTCATTCTTGTACCTTAAAGGCAACTTTCCTTAGCCGTTCATTGCCCAAGTAGGTGGCCGGTTTGCTGTAAGAACTCTGCCTGTAGGGTGTGCTAGACCGGAGTACTTTGAATACAAGACATGTAGACAGGGACCCCTATGGTAGGATGGCAGAAGCTGAGAGACAGCAGAGAAAGCAATGAGCAGGAGCCATGAGGAAGTAGAAATCATGAGGTTGAGTGGAGAATAGAGAAGTAGGATTGATGATGCCAGAAGTTAGGGAGGGGAGAAAGTCAGGAATTTTGGTGGCAGGAGTTAGGATGTCAAGAGACTCAGGTTAACAGGAAATAAGTAGAGTCAGATTGGTGATAGGAGTTGATAGTGGTGGGAGCTAGGAGCCAAAGGAAGTCAGGAGTTGATAGGAGAGGAGAGTTAGGGAGGAGTCGGGAGTTGAGAGTGGCAGGGGCTAAGAAGTAGAGTTTGGGGCTTATAATGGGGGAATATAGAGAAGTAGACAAGATCATGAGTAGATACTGGCAGGAGCTGGGGTATAAAGAGTAACTGGGTCAGTTCATTCCTTCCTCTCATCAAAGCCTTAGAGCCGCCTCACCTCACTCAAAGAGTAGCCGTAGGCCCCCTGACCTGGCTCTTGCCACCTCTCTGTCCTGCTCTGGGTCCTTCCCCTTGGCTCACTCGGCCACACTATTCCCTTCTTTGTCCTTCCAACATGTGCACATCCTGCTCACTTCCCTCCAACTGGAATGCTCTTCCTGGATACCCACACAGCTTTTCTTCCTCCTTTCTTTCAGGTATTTGCTTAAATACCACTTTTTCAGGACAGTCTTCCCTGACCATACTCCTGAAAATACTAACTGCCCGTCTTGAGAACTCTGTTCGCCCAGCCAGCTAAGCTTCTCCGCTCCACAACCACCTGGTATAGTACATGTTTTCTTTACTCATTTAATCCTTGTCCATCTTCCCCACTCTATGAAGGCAGAGACATTTGTCTTTTCTTACTCACTTGCCATTTCCCTGATGCCTAATTCAGTGCCTGGCACATAGTATGGAGTTACAGTTATTGGAAAAATCAATCAATGAATGAATAAACAGATGAACTCTGCTACACTGCTCACTGTCTTTCTAGTATTTTTCTCATTTTTAATAATTATGTTTATTTATTTTAAGTTGATTGATGATTGCTTTATAATATTTGTTTGATTTCTGTCATACATCAGGAGAAGGCGCTGGCACCCCACTCCAGTACTCTTGCCTGGAAAATTCCATGGATGGAGGAGCCTGGTAGGCTGCAGTCCATGGGGTCGCTAAGAGTCGGACATGACTGAGCAACTTCACTTTCACTTTTCCTTTCATGCATTGGAGAAGGAAATGGCAACCCACTCCAGTGTTCTTTCTTGGAGAATTCCAGGGACGGGGGAGCCTGGTGGGTTGCCGTCTATGGGGTTGCACAGAGTTGGACACGACTGAAGCGACTTAGCAGCAGCAGCATACATCAACATGAATTAACCATAGGTATACCTATGTCCCTTCCCTCTTGAAACTCCCACCCCCCTCCCACCCTTTCCTACTCCTCTAGTTTAATACAGAACCCAGTTTGAGTTCCCTGAGGCATACAGCAAATTTCCATTGGCTCTCTGTATTACCTATGTTATGTACATACTTCCATGCTACTCTCTCCATTCATCATAATACTTTTCTCATTTTAAAGTCATGTGCCTGTTTATCACTTTGCCTGTTTATCATTCTTTCCCCTCCATAGTGTAATTTCTTTATAGGGCGGCAACCAGAGCCCACCACTGTCTGCAGCGTGGTGCCTGATGAACAGGATGTGTTCAAGCTGTGCTTGAAGGCCTTAGTGATGGGGTGCCAGAGTAGGAAGGAGTGGGCTGGTTCCTCTGCGGAGAGGTGAGGCAGACTCCGCTGCTAGAGCTGCGATGTGTCTGGGGCCCTGCTGCATTTCTCCCTGAAGCCTGGCTGCAGCTGCAATTGTTTTCTATAGGATGTTTCTGGCTTCCCAAGGTGCTGTCAGGAGACTACTGGTTCAGTCTCCTGTTCCTCTTAATGTTCCCATGTGTCCTTATGCTCAATGCCCATTAACTGAGGGAACTGGGCCCTGATCCTTGCATCCTCAGACAGCCTGACACAACGGCAGCTCACTCAACACTAATTCTCATGGGGGGATACCAGGGAACACCGACCCCTCTGCCGGCACATGAAGAGGCCCGCCATATCTGATGCTGGTTGAACTGTGTCTCACCCAAATTCATAGGTTGAAGTCCTAACGCGCAGTACCTCAGAATGTGACCTTAATTGAAACAGGATATTTCCAGAGGTAATCAGATTACAGTGAGATCAGGAGGATAGGGCCTAATCCAATATGACTGGTATCTTTGTACAAAGGGGGAAATTTGGAGACAGAGAGAAACATAGAACACCCTGTGGAGACTGAGTTCTGCTGCCACAACCAGGAGCTGCCAGGAGCCAGGAGGGGACTGGCACAAGTCCTTCCCTCGCAGCCCGCAGAGGAAGCAGGCTTGCTGACAGCCTCGTTTCAGGCTCTATCCTCTAGAACTGCAGGACAGTGCAGTGCTGTTGTTTCAATCCCTAGTGGGTGGTGCTTTGTTATGGTAGTCCTTCCCCATGCAGAGACTGGTTCCCCCACAAACCCAGCTGGAGATGATGTGACTGGACACCCTGAGCCGGCCTGTTGGGGTGCACCGGGCGGGGAGGGGAGGCAGCACCACTGTACTCACAAGACGCTAGGCCCCGTGGCCCCCCGGAAGGCGTCGTTGTGCATCTTCTCCAGGTGTGCATTTTCCTTTAGCTCCCTGTAGGGAAGGACAGGGCCCTTAGAGGAGTTTCCAGCTCACATGTAACCAGTCAAAGCTGTGTACATGCACGTTTGGAGCAGCCCATGTATGTGGTGCTCAGGGGTTGAGGCGACAAGGAGGGGCTGTGGGTAAAATGCAAAAACGGCATTCTTGTCTTTGGCACAACTGTGAAATCTTGGGTGTTTGGCTCTGCCCTTTCCCTGCGGTTTCCCCCTGTCTCAGCGGAACCCTTTGTCCTACCACTGAAAGCTCTAGCTCCTGCCCTGGAGCTGTGCACGTTTCCTCCAGGCAGCTGGGCAAGCAGAGATGCTGCTCCAGTGTTCAAGGCTGAAGGGTGCAGGTGCGGCGCGCTCTGTACCAGGCTCTCAGCCATCATGACCTTGGAGAGCTCAGTGTTCATTTATACTGAAGTTTGCAAATCTTAAAAGAAAAGTAGCATCCATTCAAAGCTACCCCCTTTCATCATGTTAATTGGACTTTTTCTTTCAGCTGTGCATTTCTACTTGGGCTTCCCAGGTGGCGCTAGTGGTAAAGAACCTGGTTGCCAATGCAGGAGCCAGAAGCGACTGGGGTTCGATCCCTGGGTCAGGAAGATCCCCTGGATGAGGGCATGGCAACCCACTCCAGTATTCTTGCCTAGAGAATCCCATGGACAGAGGATCCTGGAGGGCTGCAGTCCATGGGGTCACACAGAGTCAGACACGACTGAAGTGACTGAGCATGCACACATGTGCCTTTTTTGGTGGGTGACAAAGGGGAAGAAGAACAGCCTGTATAGAAAATTGCCTCCTACACCAGTCTGGGCTACATGTCTGATCATCAGTAGGTATGTGTGTTGTAGGCAAAGAAGGGTCGAAGGCCACTGCTCTTAAGGAACCCAAAAGCTGCAATGTGAGTAGCCGCCTGAGGGCTTCTGTTCCTTTTAGGGCTCCCCTGGTGGCTCAGATGGTAAAGAATCTGCCTGTAATGCAATAGACCCGAGTTCGATCCCTGGGTCAAGGAAGATCCCCTGGAGAATAGCTACCCACTTCAGGATTCTTGCCTGCAGAATTCCACAGCTTAGAGTAAGCTTCTCAGGACCAGCTTGGCCTGGCCCCACTGAGTAGCTCCTATCTGGGCCCTGACGGTGGTGTCTCCAAGCACAGGCCCCTCTGGATGGATAGGGAAGCTGGGAAAGGAGTCCCTGGGCTCAGACTTGCCAGCTTACTTTTGATCACTTTCTTCCTATAAGAGAAGGGTTTCAAAGAACTTTCTGGAAAACCCTGGACAATGGGCAGAGTGTACATTCATTTTTGGCATGATGATTGTGAACACGGGACATGATTCTTCTAGTAGCACTGTTTCAGTGGTGAAAGAAATATACCAACACCCACTGCCCCTGCCTTGCAGGATCCTTTGTAATCAGGCAGCTCATCTCATAGCTTTACATCTTCTTTATCATCTTTCTGCAAGACTCCACATCACCCTTGCCATTTAAAAACTGCAAAAGCCCCTGCATTTCACCCATTGGTGGCTGTTTTCCATATGCTTCTACTAAGCATTTTCCTTGGGAAGCCTCAGCCCTTTCATCAAAATGCACCCATCTGTCTCACATCGTCCCATCCCCTGGGTATATTTCCACTTTCAAAGTGATGAGGTTGTCAGAGTCAATTGCTATTTAAAATCTAAATCAAAAGAAAATTTCCTTCCCAAACCTCCCTGGCTCTTCTTCCTGATTTGGTTTGTTTTAATTATGTTCGGTTGTGGTCATAAATCATTGAAACCAGGCTCTGTGAGCAGATAATCCTCATGTCAGCCAGGTCAAATTAATTGTTCAAATTTTATGACAGCTTTTCGCATGTTTTATTAAAACTCAGATCTTTCTGTATAATGATAACTCTGCATTATGTAACTCAGCCAAAAAGAAATCAAATTTATCTACCACGTCTTCCTGGAGGTCCTTTTGGGAAATCTCCTGAGTGGCATGGCCGTCTAGGTATGAGAGACGTAGGCAGGCAGGATGACCTTTGGAGGTACAGTGGGAGAACCCCCAAATTCCATCCAAGGCTTCCTTAATGGGGGTGCTCAGGGAATGGTAGGGAGGGACTCTGGGACCCCTGGAGGTATCTGAGGGTAACCTTCTGAGGTTGCTCCCCTCCACCATATCTGCCTTAGTAAGCAGCATATTTGAGGACTTTGTAGCGCTCTGGTGTCATCATTCTGGACAGCTTTGGACAGGCCTGTACACGAAAAAGGTGTCAGAAATGGGGCTGGATTGTATAGTTGAAAAATTTTTCCCAGTTCTTTTGAAAACTACTCCCTCTGCCCTGCTCAAACCCTTCAGTGGGTCTCCTTCCCCTCAGAAGAGAATTCAGACTCCTTCCCATGGCCCCCTCAGTCCTGATGCCTTGCTCCTGATACATCTCCATGATTATCTCATCCAGTGTCCCTCTTGCTGATGGCCCTCCAGTCACAGCAGCCTCCTCCCAATCCTTGGAGCTTATCAACTTCTTTTCTTGCTCAACTCAGGCCCTTTGCACATGCTGCTCCCTCTTTCTGTAATGTGCTTCCTCTCATGATTGCCGGGGCTGATCCCTTCTCATCCTTAAGACTCAGCCTAAATATTATATCCTTGGTGAGGACTGTCCCTGAGCACCTAACCTAGGGTCAGTCTCCTCACTGTGATTTCTCAAACCTCAGTACTGAGTTATTTCCTTCACGGTATTTATCACTGCCTGCAATGAGTCCATTCATTTTTTGCCTTTTGGTCCATCTCTTCTGCTAGAAACTTCATGAGGGCGGGGACTGTTCCCACTGTACCGCTGCAGACCCAGCCCTTAACACCGTGCCTCATATATTGGCGACGCTCAATAGGTGTGATGTGTTGAATGAATAAATGAATGAGATAGGTTTGTGTTCCTGGCAAACTGATTTGTGATCTTGGTTTCCTCTTTCTTGAAACTATGAGGTATGGGGCATTCATACTGATGAAACTTTGGGACTTTTTAAGTCCACACCCATTTCAGTGCCTCTCAAGGGGTTGGCCAGGACCTCCCTCCTTATGTCTTGCTTTCCCTCACCTCCCAAAGGTGTACCCTGCTGGTTACCTTCTCGCCTCTGACTTTGCTCTGGCTTCTTTTCCTCATCTATTGTCTTCCCTTAACTTTATATTCAGTCCTCTTATTTTTCCTCCTTGTACAGGTGACCTGGGCCACAAAGGACTTCACGTATCCCCTTGCCTCAGGTACTTCTGACTTCTGTGTCTGCCCTGGACTGCCCCTTCCAACCCTCTGCCCTTCCTGCTAACCCATCCACCAACCTTCCCTTAGCAGCCCTCTCATACTTTCTACCCCAGGACTTTCAAAGGCTTGTTTTCTATAGCAGAGAGTCCAAATTCTTTACTCCAGCATCGAAGGTCCTTCCTGCTTTGTCCTTGATCCACATCTAGGACTTTTAAAATCCTACTATTTTCTGGGCTATGAGCACATCCTAAGCACCTTCCTCTGGGCTGTTCTTGTCCTCTGAACATAGTGCATTTTCCTTCCATCTCTGCTTGTCCAAGTTAAGCCTGGCTCCAGGTCTGTGTCTCTCATGAGGCTGTCTCTAATTCCCTTCTCTTCTGCTCCTGAAATTCCAGAGGACTTTACCTCTCTCCGGCCAGGTGCCATACTTTGCCTTCTGTTTTAGTAACTGCTTTGTGTACAGTTTGCATACCATTTAGGAGTGTTTCTTCCTAGGCTGTAAACTCCTGCAGGGCAAACACCAGGCCTTAGTCATCTTCGTTTCATCTCAAAATATAGCAGGTTCCTTCACACACAGCTGATGCCTGGCAAGCACTTGTCAATACCAGTATGAGGCATCTGGGAGTGCTGTGCCCAGAGAGGATAGGCCTCTGATTTTAATTCAGCAGAAACAGATTCAACTGGCCAGAGTGAAACCTGCACTGAATTCAAGTCCACAAGAAAATGAGGAAAAATCTACTCCATGATAGGAAGGACAACTTTTTAAAAAGCTGCCATTTCTTGAGCACTTAGAATGTGCCAGACCTGTGTTAAGTGCATGAGAACAATCATATTTAGTATCATTCATTCATAATTAATTAACTATGTAATGTGACAGATAATAAGAGAGCAGCTACTCTATGCTAGGCACTGTGCTAAGTACTGAGGATACAACACAGAGCTTTTCATTTTGGTGGCGTATCCTCCATATAAACATATTAACAGCTCTATTTTATGGATGAAAACACTATGGTTTAGAGTGGTTAAGTAACTTGCTCAAGATCGAGGTGATAAATGATGGAATTGGAGTTTCAGTCCCAGTTAGTGACTTTTAGATCTGTTTTCTTAGCCACCAAGCTACATAACATGGTATTAATATAATAAGGTCTTTAGTTAATATTTATCATTAAAGTATATAATATACTATATATAAACTTTTGCTACTCAACTTCAGACTGGCAGCATTAGCAGCTCTAGGGAGCTTGTTAAAATTTCAGATTTTCAGGCCCCACCCTAGACCTACTGAATTAAAGTGTCTGGGAGTGGGGCCTGGGATTTGTGTGTTAACTATCTCCAGCTATTCTTATGTTTGCTAAAGTTGGAGAAGCACTGGTGAAGACCATGGTTTATACATGAAAAGTGAAAGTGTTAGTCATTCAGTTGGGTCTGACTCTTTGTGACCCCATGGACTGTAGCCCGCCAGGCTTCTCTGTCCATGGGATTCTCCAGGCAAGAATACTGGAGTGGATGCCATTCCATCCCCCAGGGATCTTCCCTACCCAGGGATTGAACCTGGGTCTCCCACATTGCAGGCAGATTCTTTACTGTCTCAGCCACCAGGGGAACCCAAACTTATACATGACTTATTAATGGTAAAAGCCTTTTCATCTGTTTGCTTTCCTCAACTTTGGCTTTAGTTGTGCCTTTCACGTGTTGTTAGGTTTTACTCTCGACAACTGTAGGGTAATGGTCATCTTCCTCGGTACCTGTTATGGTTCAAGCAGCGCACCCCTGCCCCCGCCGCCCCACAAGCTTTGTGAATGAGCCACTTTTTAAAGGAAAGGGGTCACAGAAAGAGAGGCTGAGGACAATGAAGGAAGCAACGGGGATGCTTCTCTAGAGTTGAAGGCTGTTCACACTGGGGACCAGGGTAGGGTGTGGGGAAAATGCAGGGCTCCCTCACCTTGTGGAAAATGAGCTCCTTACCCACCCCTGCCCCCAGCCCCCGCAGTAGGGAGATGGGATTCTTTGTGGGCCTGTTGAGGCTGATTAGGCTGGTAAATGGCCTTATCCAACATCTTTGCAGTGGGGCCAGGAGGAAGAATTTCTTCACTGAAATCGTGCTGCCTCTAACACACCATCAAGCCAAGTGAGGGGACTAGAGAGGGGGGCTGTGAGATGGAGGAACCTAAAGCAGGGTGTTGAATATTTCAGCAAACTGTCAACTTCAATGTATCCAGGCTGCATCTGTTTTTGATATCAGGGTGCTCTGGGGTTTCCAGTCAGCCAGTTGCCTAGTAACATGCATGCTACACTGAGGACCAGGCACTTGAAAGTTTATTTTTGTCCTGAGTTAGTTGCTGAAGATTGAATGTGATCTGGTAGCCAGAGTAATATTTCATTTTTATTCATAAGCTGGGGAAACACGCACATACTTACAGGGAAATCAGTGTTGTCCCATTGAATGCATGACTTTGTATTTCTTCAAATCCATTTCCATATAGTTTTCTGAAGAGGGAGGAGAGAGATTTTAGAAACGAAAGAAACATAGTTTGGAATCACACATTCTTCTTTCTGTGACATTTATTACTAAGATAATTACTGGCATTTACAATATCTAGCTCAGTTTTTCTAACATTTTAGATCCTCAGGGCCTACTGAGATAAGACTGTTTCCTTGCTCTAGTTTACTTCCACCTCCACCACCAGGACCACTACTAATTTGTTAAATGTTTATTAAGTGCCAGATAGTGATCATTATGCTGATCACTATCTGGCACTTAATAAACACTTAATAAAATATATGCAAAAAATTCTGCATACATTTTATGATTTAATCCTCATTGTCATTCCCACTATTCTGATCAGAAACCTAAGCCTTCATGTTGCTGTGTAACTTGCTTAAGGTCAGAGAAAACAGTGGCAGAACTGGAACTGGAGGCTTGGGCCATCTAACACTTAAGTCTTATCTCTGGTTGTCCAGGCCAGTGTGGGTTTTCCGGATCGCTGAAAGCTGAGGGCAGAAGAAGGCTCCAGTACTGAGTTACTGTTTCTTTTTCTTAGATGAATCTGTGGTGTTAGTGTTAGCCATATTTTGTTCCACAACCAAGATTTCAGTGTCTGTGAATAGTTATTTAAGACCCGTTGGATAGTGAAATCAATTTAGTTGGATGCAATCAGCATTTAACAAAATGAAATAGAACAAACCGGAAAATGTTAGAGTATGTTGCATGTAATCAGGGTAGTACTGTTTATGACGTTTTGTGCCACCATTGTTTATGTAATGTACATGAAAGTATACGTATACATACATATATATTAGTCTGCCCAGAGCAAGACTTAAGACTCCTTAGAACACAGATGCTGGGAAATGTTAGAGCCAGAAAAGAACTTGGAGAGGAGCGAGGCGCATCCTTTCACTTTACAAAGAAGGAACGAGGCTCAGAGAAGAACGTGGCTTGTCTAAAGTCCACAGTTGGTGGAAATGAGACCAGAACACACTTTGACTGGGGCTACTTCTGGCACATCAGTTTTGCTGGTTGATGTGCCTTTTCTTCCCTGAAACATCCACATGGCCCCTCTTCCTCCTCCTGTAGAACTATGTTCAATGTTATGTTCTTGGTGTGGCCCTTCCTGACTGCCCTATTTTACCACCCTTCCCTTCCCCAGCATTTCAGCATTCTCCCTCTCCCTTCTCTGATTTACTTTATCAGCATCTGACTCATGATTATATTGTTGTCTGCCTCTCCCAGCAGAATGTAACCTTTATGAGAACAAGAATTCAGATTATTCTGTTCATTGCAGGATCACCTTTATGTAGAACAGTGCCTGGCATCTGGGAGGATTACAGTGAATATATGTTCCGTGAATTGAATGGACAAATGGTAATATATAAGATGAATTTCTTAGTGTAAACCATAGCCAAGCAAGTTTGAAAGCCACAGTCTCAAATGGAAATGTTTGTGTATGTTCTCCATAAACAGTGACTTAAGACTCAAGTAAGAAAGGGCTGTGGTGTGACATAAAATTAAGCTTCTGCATCTGGCAAGATGCTCACTTTGCTTTTCAGTGCTGCTGGCAGCTACATGGGCTGTGTCAGCGACAGGATGAAAGGGGTGACATGGCAAATGGTCTCCACCTACTCCTCAGGTGGCTGCTGTCTGCAAGGTTTTTCTAGCCTTTGTTAAATAAAACTAGCACAGGGTTTCATTTCACTGTATCTGTCTGTGTGTGATATGTATGTATATAGTGTGTGTGGGGGGTGGGGAGGGTCCCTTCCTTTCCATCAACACAGCTGAGACAAACCAGCCTATATGTAAATAAAGGTGGGACTCAGTGTTGAAGCATGGTATTTAAAGACTGCAATTCAGAAAATATAGATGTTACAAAATAATGAGTTCAGAGATTGCAGGGGATCGTATTTAATTCATTTTGTAACCCGCCCCACCCGCCCCGATCTCTCATAATGCTGTTACTAGCAGGAGCGCAGTCAACAGGCTGGCGGCAGAAGTAGCCTTGCCCTTCCACGGGAGAAAGAGCCTTGTCTGGCTCCCCCTGCTCTCATGGGCATTCTCCTGTGTTTACAGTTTCACAGATGAGCTCTTAACTGTATTCAGTAATGGATTATTGGAGGCCATTTTTCAATAGTTTTCCTTCACCATTTATATTGTAGAATCTGAGGGGATTGATATTTGGATTATGTCTGTTGTCTTGTGCAATTACACACAACCTTCTTACCTCCTCCACACAATCCCTCTAGAGTTCTCTTTTTATTTTACACTTAGAATATTGTTCTTCGTCAGCTGCTTGTCATCTTAGGGACTGAATGCTTTTATAATAATCTCTTTTAGATGAAGAAATCATACCTGTCTCTTCTCGGAACTTTTGAAATTGCATCATTTAGAGTCTAGTCTACTGTTTGTCAAATCAGTCTCCTCCATCCACTGAATCGGCATCATCTGGAGTTGCTGGCCAGAAATGCAGACTCAGACCTATTGACGAGGTGCCCTGCAGACCTAGAGTCAGAACCTGGCTGTGGTAGCCAGTAACATGCACATTTTTTGGAAATGCATATTATTTTGTCATGAGTTAATTTCCTTTTTAACAAGTAATTATTTTTGGTTGCACTGGGTCTTCATTGCTGCGCACAGGCTTCCTCTAGTTGTAGCAAGCAGGAGCTACTCTCTAGCTGTGGTGCCTGGGCTTCTCATCGCAGTGGCCTCTTGTGGAGCACAGGCGTGAGGGCTGCAGTAGTTTTGTCTCCCGGGCTCTAGAGCACAGGTTCAATAGTTGTGGCGCACAGAATTAGTTGCTTTGCGACATGTGGGATCTTCCCAGGTCAGGGATCGAACCCATGTCTCCAGCATTGGCAGGCGAATTCTTAACCACTGTGCCACCAGAGAAGTCTGCAAAGGCACTTTCATAGCAAGCTCTCCCAGTGAGCTTTGGGCATGCCACTTTGCGACCTCTTTCCCTAGGGTACATGTAATAGGATGCCGCAGCCCTCATTGTTTTCATGGTGCAAATCAGATGGTCTGTTGGACAGCACTGAGTCCAGAGTCTGGTCCCCTTACTGCATTCTCTGCCTTCTTAGTGGTGGAGCTCCATGTGTAGGAAAGGTAGTCCCTACTCTGCTTCTTACAAAGCAAAGCTGCCACCGCTTGTCTGAATGCCCAGTCCTCACCACTGTTATGTGATACCCTGATCCTACTTTTGATACATCTTAGGATCTTCCAGTTGACGTTTTTGTGGGGCCTACAGTGCCATTGCTGTGAGTGCAGCCTTGCAGGTAAGCCTGCAAGCCCTGAACCCAAGCCTTACCTGGGCTTGAATCCTAGCTCTACTACTTATGAACTGAGTTGCTTTAGGCAAGTTACTTAACCTCTCTGCGTCTCAACTTCCTGATCTGAAAACAGGGATGATAATAATAGTCTTGACCTCAAAAGACTGTTGTGTAGATTAAAACAGTATACATACGTTAAGTGCTTGGAACTGGGTTCCAGAACAAAGTAAATGCTTAGTGTGTTGTGCCTATGATTATTATTATTATCGTATTTAACAGTGGCTTCCAGATCTCTGGCAGAACAGAGGGAAAGATGTCCTTTCCCATGCTCTGAACAGCCTGTCCTGAAATGCAGTGACCTGTTAAATTGAACTGTCATTCTCCTCCGCTGAGGTGGGGGCCTTTCTTCTCCTGGATGGAGCAGGTCAACTCAGTGGCATGGGCTGCTGCAAATGTACTTACTCCCTGGGGGCCCTCAACCACCTCTGGTCTATATTGTCATCATTGCATTTTTGTATTTGAACATTTTTCCTGTCTTAAAATTTTTTTTTTTTTTAATATTCTGGGTTCTGCTTCTTCCAACTTTCCAAAGAATCTGGCTCACTATTTCCTTTTCAACTGCTGCTCTTCGCCTCTGTTCTTAACATTTGCAGACAATAGAATGTGCTGCCTTGTTTTGATTAAATGAGTGGAGAAATTACAGATGTGAGTGGGAAACCTCATGCTGTCAGCCTGCAGAATGCTTTAAATGCCCTTTAAAACATCTGGAGAGTCACTTCAGATTGCTTTTCTCCAAAACATCATGGTGTCAGAATTAAATGAGGAGGGCTTCCTTTGCCTGAGGATGCTGTCACAGGCATAGAAATGAATTTTTCTCTCATCTCTTACAATAACTGCACCTTACTTTAAAGCATTGTCTAGGTTCTCTATTCAAATGTCAGAAATTGTGACTCAGAGAAGTGGCACCTTTTTATTCAAAATAAGATTCGGGCTTTAGAACTTCATCACAGATGACACTCTAATTCTGAATGCTGCCTTATAGCAAACCCCAACTATTCCTGGGGCTTTAAAAGTATTTCTGGGGTTATAGTAGCAGTCGCAGACATTTTGCCATAGTTCCCACTCAGATCGTGTAGCCAACTTGGTTTTGAATGATTTCAAAGATATGAAAGCTTAGTTTAGGTTTATAGATCCTCAGGGTCTCAAAGAGTGTCCGCACTGAGTGGGGAAGTATCACATGCCTTAGGATATGGGGTCCTCCCATGTCTTTACTGAGGACACAAGATATGGAGGATCCACGTCCTTGCATGGTTAGTCACTCAGTCGTGTCTGACTCTTCGCAATCCCATAGCCGATAGCCTGCCAGGCTCCTCTGTCCATGGAATTTCCCAGGCAAGAATACTGGAGTGGGTTGCTCTTTCTTCCTCCATCCATGTCCTTGAAAGGATCATAATCTCAATGAGTGAAAACATGACATAATGAAAGAGTAACACAAGCCAGGAGACATTCCCTGTAAGCTTGTGTGGCGCGCAGAAATGAGAAGTCTTGGACAAGTCCTCCGGGTTAGAGAAGTCAGAGAGGCTGCGCGGTGGACTCAGACCTTGTGGAATCAGCAGCGCACTCTTCTAGAAAATCTGCCCTGTGGCAGTATATCTGTAAGCAAGTCTTTATCAGATGATCATGCAAACACCATCCTAAAGAAGAGGGATCCTAAAATCACCACTTTCTTCTTACAATACTTTGCTGAAGCCCTTTTATATCTGCATACTTCTTCAAGCCTGAAGACACTTCTTCAGTGGGTGCCCTGGCAGTGGTTGTGTGGATAACTGTCTCTGGTCACTGCTAGATGCTGCCATGACCCTAGTTTTGGATGTCATCAGAACTCCCCCATATCTCTGGGGCTCACATTCTCCATAGCAAGGAATTCCTCTCTCTGATTTGAGCACACCTCTTGCTTTTCAGCAGTTCTGAGTTTTTATGTTTCCCTCTACCACGGCCAAGTTCGGGTCAGCTTACCATATGCTACAATAAAAAGGTGACATGCATTCAAAATAATAATGATAGCAATGGAGAATAATACCTTGAATAGCATTTTGAAAAACCCATGTTTCATAGTGATACTTAAAAAGAGAGAGAGAAAGAGAGGAGAATGAAGAAAAAAAGAAACCTTTTTTATACAGAGGAGTGCTGCCTGATAAATGTAGAGGAGTGATACATTTAAAATTACCACTTGATAGCTCTCTATAATAACTGAATAATGAATCAATGCTGAAACCACTGGGTGAAAGATTGTTGGCCAATGGATAGTCACACGAACTCAAAGTATCCCATGATGGTTTACTGAATTATGACCAAGGGAGAAACATGCCCTTACAATGAAGAGGTCTGGCAGTACCTCCATAACTAAATGGCCAAGGAGTGGCATAGCATGACATGATGTACCTCCTGGTCTGAGGCAGAGGGAGACATTTAACATCTAATCAGGACAGTATAGTTGGATGAGTCCAGACAACTGGCCTAAGCCTTCAAAGGAATTAGTGTTTTGCAGAGCAGGGGAAGACGGGAGGGCAGTTCTCAGGGAGTGAGGTTGGGAGGACGAAGGGACATAACAGCAAAAGTGCTGTGTATAAAGTTTGAATTCCGAGTTTTAAAAAAAATCTGTCAAAGACATTTTCATTTGAACATAGACTGTAAGTTGGATGATGTCATTAAATCCATGTTGATTTTCTTAGGTGTAATGGTGTTATAGTTCCAGAGAATGTTTCTATTTAGGGAGATACATGCTGAAGTATTTGGGTAGGAAGTATCATGTGTATAAACTTCTTTTGGATGGTTTGGCAAAAGGGAAATGTGTTGTATATATTTACATATATAGAGACGGAGTGGATGTGGCAAGATGATAACAGTAGGTGAAACTAGGTAAGATGTATAAAGGTGTTCATAGTGCTGTTCTTTCCATTTGTCAGTGGAAAGACAAATGAAAAGTGATTCTATTTGTCAGTTAAAATTTTAAAAATAAAAAAAGTATTTAAAAAGAGATGATGAGACACATTTTCATGATGGTCTGAAACAGTCTGCTTGCTAAATATGAGCTTTTAAGTTGTGATACAGTGTGGTTGACACAATGTGACTGAATTGAATTTGCACAAGGAGGTATTAATAGTCCCATTAGAAAGTTTGTTGCAGATCTGTGACTTGGCTAAAGCTGGGTGGACTTAAAGCCAGGACTAATGCCCAGGCTTTCTACTTCAGTGCCCAGCAGTCTCTCCGCTCATCATCCCGCAGCTCATCACGGGTGCAGCCAGGACTCTTGTCCTCCTTGGCTGGGCCGCCCTTCGCTGAAGGGTCTTAGAGAACTGATTGCCATGACCTTTCCTTCTTGTGAGGAGTTCAGACGTGAATCAAGGTTGACTCCTTTTTTGAGCCTGGTGTGACAAGTCATTTAGAATATTGTAAGGGTGGTGCAGCCAAATCCTGCTCATTCAGGGTGGGGGGCATTTCAAGGTAGCCTCTTGAGGAGAATTAATGAAAAGCCAAATGGCTTTAAAGGGACAGAAGAGCATAATGCATAGTTTTAGCATTAGCCCCACTGAGCTTCTCCAGCATCAAGTGAAGTGTTTTGTTTTCATTAAAAGAGCTCACAGTTGGTAAAGATCTGGGCGGGGGAAGGGTAGGAAAGCTTCCATAAAAAGCGAAATCTCAACTACTACTAATAATGAGAAGAGAAGGCTTGCCTTCATTATTTTCTAATTAGAGAGTTGAACTTTATAGCTGAGGAAATAAGGTTTTCCTCTTTGAATGTAATACCCTTTTCCAGCGGGGTGCTCCACATGATCCTGCATGTACAGAAAGGCCCATTCAGCTGAGAATAAGTGCCAAGCAAATGACTAATCACTCCCTTCCAGATGAAGGGCCAGGAGTGAGGAGGGAGACGGAGGCACAGTGCCCTCACGGGCTCCCTGGGAGAGAGGGAGCTGCAGTCCTCATTAACTGCAGAAGTGGGGCAATTATGCCCTGCTGGTGGGCGCTATTCTTCTTAAAATCATAACTAAAATAAGTTAATGGCCCCTAACAAAAACACTGTGCTGCTCCTGTGTACAAGATGCTGAAATGTGGCGGGTGAGAAGAAATCGTTGGTTTCCCCTTGGGTTTGGTGGGCGGCCCCATCGCGTGAACTCATAGACCCTTGTGGGTATCTCAACATTCGTTTTCTTACTGGTCTTCCACACCTTCTGCGCTTCCTTCTGTTCTCGCTACAGTCCTCTCCCCTGGCCGTGCTTGTTGTCTGGGAGGAGTACTTACTGGTTTCCTGATTACTCTTAGATTGAGGTCAGAATCAAAGGAAGTCTTGGATATTTGTGATCTTTGAATAAGAGCTATTCTACTGAGTGGTTTCTTCTTATTACTTTTTTTCCAGGGTTATTTCTAAGCTGTTAGCCCCTGAACCCTGCATTCAAAACCCTCTGCAATCCAGTGTTTCCTCCACCCCTGCCCTTTATCTAAACGTATTTTCCGTCTCTTAAGCAGGATGTTTACTGCCAATGAATATGCCTCATCCCATTTTCCTCCTTCCCACCGCCATGCTTTTGCTCATGTTCACTTGGAATGTTCGCCCCCTTTTTCTCAGTATATGGTACCACATAATGGTTAAGACCATGACTCTGGAGCCAAGACTGTCTGAGACTAAAGCTTGACCTGGGGTGAATTACTTAACTTCTCAGTGGCTTGGTTTCCTCATCTAAACATGGGGTGGACAGTCCCTACCTCATAGGGTTGCAAGATTTAAATGAGTTTTTAAAAAAGCACTTTAAAACCGTGTAGGCACATAATAAGTGCTATATAAATATTAGCCACTTTTATCATATTTACTCATACAAGCCTTACTGATTCTGCAAGGTCTCACTCAGGTCCACAGCCTGACTTCTACAGCCCAAGAGAACCTCTCCAAGACTTCTCATTTCTGTGTACCGCACACTCGCAGTGAATGTCTACTGGCTTGTATTATTCTTTCATGTTTTCTCCCATTGAGACTGTGAGCTTCCCAAAGACATGGATCTTATATGTCTTTTGTGTCCTCAGCAAAGACATAGAAAGACCCCAAATCCTAAGGCGTGCAGTACCTCCCCACTCAGTGCTCTGTAAATGCCCTGTTTCTGACAGCGGACATGATGATGAGTGGTTCCTGATCCATAGGTGATGGTGAGTCAGAAAGGCTTTATAAGCAGCTAGAAGAGCTACAGTACCTGAGGGAAGTGCAGGAGTAGAAAGATTGTAGAGAAGTTTTTCTAGGATATAGTCTCCTTTCTGATGTGTAAGAGATGCAAGGTAAGAATTTGAGTTATTTTGAAACTCTTTTTGGTTGCTGCTCTGTATTCTTTTGATTGCAACACTGGTGAGTCCAGGCTGCACTGGTCACAGCTTTGTAACATGATAACTGTTATGTGTTCAATTATACTTATACACAGTAAAATTACTAATCAAATGCAGTGCACCACTGATACCAATTTCTAGAATCCATTGCATAAAAGGCAGTCCTCTGAGATGGTCTCTTCTCTTGTTTCACAACTAGCTCCTCATTTCTGGGTCATCAATACATGCTTTCTCTTTCTTTAAGGACATTTAAGGTCATTGATTGTCTTATCACGATCTTGCCATGGAATGTAACCAAAGCAGAATGAGTGCCAGGATGTAGACATGGGAGCAGAATTGAACATGGGCCACTGGGCTTTGGAGATAAATGAGACATGGTGCCCAGGATTCTGCCTCTGAATGGTGGAGTAAAGGAAGGTGGCCCATGTGAAGAGGGCAGGGATCTAACAGGAGGGAAGTCAGGCAGGTATACAGTGAAGAGAACAAGTTGGGTTATCTTAGCATGATGCCCCTCACACTTTAATGTGATGTGATTTACTTCGAATCTTATTAAAATGCAGATTCTGAGTCAGTAGGTCTGGGATTAGCCTGAGAATCTGAGTTTCTTACCAGCTCTCCGAGGACACTATAGATGCTTGTCCATGGACCGTACGTTTAGTAGCGAGGTCTTAGGAAAGAGCATGGAAGGGATAACCTGATGAGTGACTGCCAGATGAGAAGACATCATTTTCAAGTACAAAAGGATGTAGGGAATGGGCATAGTTGGTGTTCCTTCAGAAACAAAGTAAGCAGGTTCCAAAGAGAAGGTGAAAAATGACTGAGAGAGAGAGAGAGAGAGAGAGAGAGAAAGAAAGAGCAGGGTCCTTTGATCAGCTACTCCACCTACTTGAAGAATATCCTTCCAACCTCTTCTCAGTTGAAACTTGAAATTTCTGTGCTCTCTTTTTACCAGGGCAGTCACTCCCCTCCAGGCTGTCTCTTTTTAGCTTCAAAGCAGTCCATCGATGTAGTGAACAATTTCATCAGTTGGAAATTCAGTCACTGTAAATCCTCAGGGCCCATTTGATTAATTTTGAACTTAATGGGTTGGTTGGTTGTCATATATGAACATATGACCTAGCTGCCATCCCACACGACTCCTCTCACCCTTGGCATTTTAGGTCAGAAAGAATGTCAGCAGCGAGTTAGGAACATGATGAAAGACAAGAAAGAGCTCATCTCAAGCTAGAAGTGGGAATTAAAAAAAAACAAGAAGTGGGAATAGTAGGAGCTGCATGGCAGAGGGTGAATCTGCACATTTACTTACAGCGTTATGGATTCGTTATTCATCCCTTGAAAAGCATTTCCTGGTACAGTGGTTATGTGTAAGTTATCACAAATTTCCCTTGAGGAATGAAATGAGAAATATTTACTTTCTAAATTTCAGCTGCAAATAGGAAACTGTTATGCATAGCAATCAGCCTGGTACTTACAGAATGAAATTAAATTCAGAGGAGAAGATCTTCGTAACATCTGGAAGCTTGCGGATGCCTGTGTTACAGATGCTTCTGTGATATGGGGCAGGATGGGAATGTGGGCAGAGTGAGTATAGGGGATTGTTACTAAGGAATAAAGATAAAAACAGTAGAAAGGCACTGTGCAGATAACTGTTTTCATATTAGATTTAAAAAATGTGGAGTTTGGCTTTATCAGTAACACTTCTGGCTGTTGAAGATCAGAATTTAAAAGCCCCTAACACTATGGGGGGAAGTTGCTCCTTTTAGATGGGGATGGGACCAAACTCTTCGGTCTTTTTCATTTACATTTGTATTTCCAGCCTGTCTTTTTCCTATTGCATCAGTTGCATTTTCCTATTGTATTGCATTCCATTTCCTTTTGCTAATTAGTGTATTCTGTGTTCTTAATGGTTCTAGAAAGCATCTCTCTACTTTAGAACAGGTTTTAACTCAAACACTTCAGGAAGATTAATCTCCATGTGAGAAATCATATCCTCATTATTAAAAATCCCCCTTTATTTAGCTACCTTACAATTCAGGGAGTTCTTCCCTGTATCTCACTGATCATGGAACATTCTTTTGGTTTTGGAGCTACTCAAGGCTCTTCCTCTTTTCCTCCCACCTTTTACTTAAGCCTTCAAAGAGGAGTGAGACTTCAGTGATAGGTTAAATTGAAGGATATTTTATTACACAAGAATGGGACTCCTTGAGAGGAGCTCAGCATCTGGATCTTCCCAGCTGAGTTTTAAATTCACCAGTCATGGACTGTGGACAGCTGAACTGAACTGCCTGGCACTCTGGTGACGAGGAAAGGAATCCAGGTTTCTCTTTTGGCTCTCTCTGGTTCTCCTCCTTACCTGTTACCCCAGATCACATGGAATCCTTGTCCCGTGACTGGTGAAGGCAGTGTGGGCTTGGACTGCAGTGTGTAGTGGGTTTGGGGGAATATCATACTTTAGGGGTGAAGATGCTATTTAATAAAAGCAGTGATTCTTAGGTAACAAGGGGCTGCAGTGGTCAAATTTGTTTCTGGGATTTTCTTATGTTTTCCCAACATATTTGACACTGCAGATACTTATGCGGCCTATGGATCCCTTGGAGGTCTGGAAAAGCAGCACACTGGGGCTAGGAATTGTCATCCAGCATTAGGGCTACGCTCGTGGCCCAGGGCAGGCCTGCTAGAGGCGGTGGACTTTGCATCCTCTGGGGATTTTATGAAATTTAATTCATCAGGAAGAAGAGAGAATGGACATCTGTATCAGAGGGCTAAGTGTTCATTTTTCCCTCTGTGAATAAATGATTACTTGATATGTGAGAAGATCCAGGGTGACTAATTTATAGATTTGTATCACATTACAGGTATTCTTGTTTTGCTGGCAAGGTGATGAATTTGCTAGGCTACAGTGGTATTCAACTTATAATGCTAACTAGTGGACTTAATAAGGTTTAAGGGGAAATAGAAAATAATGATTTGGTTTATATAGCACAAGACCTACCTCAAGGCAGTACTTTAAAATTGACTGAGTGAATGAATGGACACATGAGAGAAATGAGGTCAGGAATTTTTAACCGTGGATGGGGGTCAAATCAGAACTGCCCCTCCCACTTTCACCAATGCCCTGTCTATATCATCACCTCACCTTAGAGATTCTGACTTACCCTTTTTAAAGTGTCCTGACCTCCCTGCCCTATGACCACCATCACTTTGAAAATCATTGCAAGGGGGTAGTATCCTTCTTGGATGTTTGGGACAAAGAAAATGTTGGGAGCCACTAACATGTATTTGAAAGCACCCAGCATAGTGGTCAATAAGAAATGCTGATTAGCTTTTAATCAGAAAGCTGAAGACAGACATGCAAATAATGCTAAGTATGTGGTTTAAAAATTCTTCCCAACCTTTTAATTAAGTTTTCATCAGATGCCCATATCCCCTGCCCCTGTTGCTTAAAAAGGAAAATTCCTCACAGGTATTTTAACTGAGGGAGATTTGTAAATGCTCCGGCCTCAATGTACACCAGGTTTTTAGTGTTCTGGATCAGTCTGTAAAGAGAAATGGAAAAACAGGCAGCAGTTTAATAGATGTGCTTCATTTGGACTGCACAAGGCCATGGTCACCAGAGGATGCTGGCTGAAAGTGGCATCAACAAAATCAAGTGACTTTCTTGTGCTTGAGGGGTGCTCCTGAGAACCTCAGGATAGAAACTGGATGATGAGAGCCAGTTGGCTACTGCCAGGAAGTTCTGCTTTTAACCTCTTGCTGAGGTAAGTATAAGCATCATAGCTGGGAGTCTGTTCCATTCTCCCTGCTCTCCTTCCTGCCCCCGAGTAACACCAACATCCAGGGCTCCTGGCCAGCTAGGTCCTGCCCAACCATGGAGCCCGCACACTGGGGGTGATGGGCGATTTCACTCCCAAGAGAAATGAACGAATTGGCTGTTTGCTCTTGGAGGCAAACTGGTCATCTTCGTAGTGGCTGGCAGTTACACTGACCGGTTATTCAGATGGGCACTCAGCCTTTGGAATAGCCCAGGGCTGTCGCTGGGGGCTTGCATTTGGGGATTTTTACATCCATTCTATAGATAATTGGTTGTGTGATGATGCCAGGCCTTTTAATGCCCCTGAGCTAGTGCTCCCTTCTGTAAAATTAGAAGAATAATAGCACTTTCTCTGCCTCACAGGTTGGTAGGGAGTGAGTAACATAATAGGTAGAGATAATATACAAGGCAGGGCTTGGCAAAATGTAAAAGTACAGCCACAGTACTGCAGTGGCATTATTGCCTTTCTTCCTAGTTCCCCAGTGACTTTGAAAAGCAGCTACATTTACTGAATTCTGTCTACTATGGATTCAATAAAAGGTCAGTAAATGCCTCTATCTTTTTAAACCCAGGCAACAGCCACTGAAGGAAATGATAATTACTCTTGTTCTGTAGAGAAAATCTAGTGTGTTGGTTAGGTGGATGGACTCCGGTATCAGCTTGGTTTAACAGGCTGGTTTTACTAATTGTATGACCTTGGATGCATCACTTAAAGCTTGGTTTCCTCATAGAGTGGGTTTTGAACAGAAAATATGTGTATCTGGTTCACAGTAAGGCCTTCCAGTGTTGACAACAGTGGATGAAATCAGGAAGTTGAATGATTGGTCTCTAATCACAGAACTGAGAAGTAGCAGAACTTGGAGGTGAACACAGTTTTTCCGACTCCAAGTCTAGTATGTATTCTACCTTACTAAAGTTTTCCACCATCGTGCCAATTTCTATCCTTTACATCTCTTTGATTCTTTAGAGGTGAGGGACTTTTTGTTGTAATTAACTTTACAACAACTAAATCAAGCAGTCTTGGGCCATGTAAGACATTAGGTGGGTAGAATGGAAAGAGCTTCTATTTCTTAAGACTGTTTTGGAATCTGACCACTCATCCATCCATTCATTGAACAAACATTTATTGAATTACCTCCATGTGCCAGGCATTGTTCTAGGTGCTGGAGATCCAGCTGTAAACAAGGCAAAGAGAGCTGTGGGGAACTGACATTCTAGTCTCAGGGCCTTCTTTCCCTTAGAGCGCTTTATTTTTCTTTCTGTATCAATAAATTGATACTTTATAAATTGATACTTTATATCTATATAAAGATATCTTTATCTATTAAATAAAACTGCTTTACATCATGAGCAGTTTTATTTATCTCAAGCTGCTGTGGTTCAACATTGCTTGGGAAGTCTGTTAAAACTGCAGATATTCAGATTTCCAGGTCCAGGTAGGACTGGTAAGGGTAATGATGTAATGGAAATGACCTTCCCCTATCCCGCTCCCACCGTGAAATTCTACTTCACAGCGAAGTCCAGACTATACCTTTTGCACTTAAATACCTGTTATTTTGGATTTCCCTGTTTGGTGAATTAGTCTTACTTCCCTGGTTACACTGTCGTCTCTTGGGGGACATGTAAATTTTACCTCCTCTGTATTCCAGGATCATTTGACGCTTAGTTGGACATGTGTACCCACATACTTATTAATTCATTATTCTCTTTAGATGATTGATAATTGGACCATTCATAGGGAGGCCTTGTGGTACAGTGGAAAATGTGCAAGCTTTGAAGATATGGGCTGGGGCTGAATTCCAGCCCTGGCATTGTCGAAGGTGCCACTTTTGTCAAGTTACCGACCCTTCTGAGCCTCCAATCCTTCCTGTGAACAAAAGGGATAATTACCCCACTTTGTAGGGCAGCTGCAAGAATTAAATGAACAACCTAGAGGAAATAAAGGCTGAGCACAAGTGCTCAAAATATGTTTGTTGCTAATATGGAAACTCCTCTGCTGATGCAGCTTGTAGAAGTTCAGATTTGGGCCAAACTAGGCAGCAGTAAGAAGCCTGGTTTAGGAGTCACATGACCTGATTTCTAGTCTTATTAACTCTGGCGCTAACTTGCTGTGTGACATCTGAAAACTGAATCGAGCTAGTCTTCTCCCATTCTCCCTTTTTTTGTAAATTGGAAGAAAATGATACTTTGGAAAGGATTACTATTAAGAATCAGTTCAAAAACATCACAACAACAAATCCAACATACACATGTCAAACACTTTTACATGGTTCGTTTCCAAGAACCATTTACTAAATAAATGAATATGCCCAAATAGTCCCCAGTGAACTAATTCATGATCTCTAAGCGCCTTTCTAAATATTCCACCACCTCAAGGACTCCATACCCTCCCTACCATAAGGTAAGAGCTACTTGGCAGGACTCCACAATGTCAGTTTTAATTTCCAACTTTGTGTTGTGATGTTTCAGAGTTTATACTGCTCCCAGGGAGAAGCAGTTGTCACCATGGCAACCTGCAGGACACTGCAGTGACAGAAATTAGTGCTTGCCCAGACCTAGTAATTGCTGTAGTCTTTTCCTCTTGGATTCCTAGCTATGGATGCTTGAATACAAATACTGAGTGGGCTCCAGCCAGCGAGGGTAATAGTGTACAGCAATAAACTATCTGTTAGCTGATGCTTACATTTCAGACAAATTGAGGAGGTTGTCAAAGGCATTAGCTTCTATCTTTTCCAGGGAATCACTCTGAGAGATTTCACTAGGGGAGAGAGAGAAACAAAAAAGAAGAAGAAAAAGAAGCATGAAATAAATGACTGTTTCTGCATGATAATAAGCTGTGTGCACGACCCAACAATGGCGGGGGGAGGGGGGGTGTCCTTTTAAAAAAGAACAGGGATGCCTTAAGTTGTCCTCACATTATAACGTGCTTCACCTCCCTCTAGGAGCACGAATGGGCACCTGCAACCCAGATGCAGTTGAAATGCAAGTTTCAGTATTTCCTGTTGATGTGACAGTTTTTGTTTACTTATCTATGGACTCAGAGTTACAGATTGTTGGAAGTAGACATGCCCTTTGGGGAAAACCAGTCAGATTCCCTTGTTTTATAGCTTTGGGCATTAAAACTCTGAGAGGAGAGGCAAATAGTGCTTATAAGAAGATTCGGAATCAGGATCAAGATGTCTGGGTTCCCAACTCCATCACTCTAGTGAGGTTTTAATTTGGGTTAGGATTCCTGGTTTCTTAACTCTTTTGCAGACACTTTAACCTCGAGCCGCCAGGGAAGCCCTTCTTAACTCTTTACTGCTACTGCTGCTGCTAAGTCACTTCAGTCGTGTCCGATTCTGTGCGACCCCGTCCCTGGGATTCTCCAGGCAAGAACACTGGAGTGGGTTGCCATTTCCTTCTCCAGTGCATAAAAATGAAAAGTGAAAGTGAAGTCGCTCAGTCATGTCTGACTCTTCTCGACCCAGTGGACTGCAGCCTACCAGGCTCCTCCGTCCATAGGATTTTCCAGGCAAGAGTACTGGAGTGGGGTGCCATTGCCTTAACTCTTTACACGTCTCCCAAATCCTGTTCTGAGGCAGCTGCAGAGTGGTCAACTCCCTGCATGAAGTGTCCTTATTGGGTTGTGACTGTCTATTTATTTGTATTTGACCATTTTCCTCACTTTGTTAGCAAACGAAGGACAGAGACTATATCCTAGTCACTCCTGAATCCCTAGTGGCTTCGTATAGCCTGGCATTTAGGGTATCAGTGAATGAATAGATAAGTGAATGAATTGAATTTTTTTAAAGAGACACAAAGTAAAGGAACCAACTTTGCCATATATCACCCCCAAGCAACTGGGTAATGTCAATGTTACCCTAAAATCCCCATATAAGCTACCATTTGCTTCCAGCTGAGAAAAAAGTCTCAAATTCTAAGAACATTCACTGAAGGTTTCAGACTTGATGAGCTTTTTAGCCCACAGGAAGGCTGAGCCTAAGGCAGTTAAGGTCTTTTATGAACAACACAGTAGTGGATAGTTCCTAGGCTGATTCATCTTATTCCTACCTAATGGTTTTGCTTATTTAACTGTGGCTGCTTTTCTCAGTAGGAGGTCTTAATGCATTCAAGGTTTTCAAAACTCAACATTTAAAAACCTTGAGAGCAGAAGAGTAAAGGTTAGCCTCAAGCAAACTGACATTTCTGTAACCTGCAGTGAATTTCTTATAATATGCACTAATTCTTAACAAATTATTTTTAATGTTCCTATTGCTTTCTAATACCCTAAAGAGCAGTCAGAGTTTCCCCACAGAACTAGGACTGATGATGTAGCATCTTCAGAGATGCAGATCTGTTTTCAAAGCCCTGAAAATTTGTAAGATGCTCTTTGGAAGCATCTAAATGGCCTCTGAGGTCCTGTGACTCAGATTGACATTAAGGAGGATGCTGGAATCCATACTCTCTTTCCATATATGTGCTTTTGTGTCCTAGAAGCTGACCTAGCAACATAGGATTGAAGTTACATCAGATACAAATAGGAGATCACATTGCATTATCAGGCTGCTTTACACTTTTGATAAATGCCTTTTATCAATATAGATACAAATACTGTGTTTGTCATACATTTATTATTTAGATACTAAGATAATCTTCTGATGCACAATAAACTTTCAACACATTTTCTTCTGTGCAGGTGTTATCTAAAAATGTGACATGAGGGAACAGTCACTCTAGCAGAGGGAGTTTTTTATGATTGAAATCTATCTTCTTTTCTACTGGAGTAGTTTCTCATCACTTATCAAAATGCATTCAGTTTGTTGAGACAAGGTTAATTATCTGAATTTTAATGACTCTTGAAAATCATCCCTTTTCTTCAAAGGTCCCTGGGTATTATTTGTACTTTAAAGATAAAAATACTAGGGTTTCCTAAATACAGTTTCTCTCCTAGAAAAATTACCACTTTTCAACTATGTGTTCTCTGAGAAAAAAATTTTATTTCAATTATAAATGTCTTTTGATATGCAGTATCTTACTTACATTTTTATGACCTCATTAAGTCCTCTGAAAGCTTGAGATGGGATTACTTTGATAGGGAGATAGGTGAGTGATCTAGAAAAGAAAAAAGGAAAGCCAAGAGTTTAAGATTTAAGATTCGGCGCCTTTTAAGTTCATGAATGAAATGTGTGTGTATGTGTGTGACTGCAGAGTTCCCAATTGTTAGATTCAGGTTGAAAATTCTACCTTCTATCGATAAAGAAATGTGCCGTGACTAATTCTTGGTCTTTATCAAAAGGTTAGGATAGTGAACCTTGGGATCAGATGCACCCAGGGTCAAATCTCCACTCTTCTACTACCTGGCTACAGGACCCTAGGCATATTATTTAGATCCTCTATTTCAGGTCCTTTGTCTATAAAATTGAAATAATAATTCCTATTTCACAGGGTTGTTGTGAAGATTAATCAAGATAACCTGGATAAAGAATTGGGCTTGGTATCAAGTAAACAGTTAACACGTAGTTTTAGAGTGGACATATAAAGCTTGTTGGGAGGATAGAAAAGAAGCTGTCTTGGGTAGAGTGGAGAAATGGGTGGTGAAAATACAATTGAAAACCAGGCAGGTAGGAGAAGGGAAGATTCACTAACAACATACTCCTATTTTGCTCTATACCATCTTCCCCAAGCAGCCTATTTTAATATTATCTCAACCAGACCACTTTGCTCCTGTGGTTAATCAAATGCCATTTTGATTTAATGCCATTAATCTCATACCATTTGAGGGAAACATCTGAAGAGACTCCTTCAGGCTCTTACTTATATCCAGAAGAACAATCTGAGTGTTCTTGAATTGAGATCAAAGTTACGCATTACAAAACGTTGAGAAAAGAGTGACCACTCAGCAAGAGCAAAACCAGAGTAGGACAACGTACAAGTGATAAAGGAACCTGGGATAAGATAACTCAGGAGAAAGCATCTGCAAGGCAGAGATGAAGGTTAACCTGTATTTATCAAGCATCTACACTGATTTAAGGATTTGGCCCAGGGACTGGAAGAGACGAGAGGAGTGGACCAGGACATTTCAGGAGGGAAGTGAATATTGAGAATATGGAGAAGAGGAGTGGGAGATGCTGCCTTGCTTTTCTGTCCCTGCAGCAGAGACCGGCTTACCTGCTGGGAGAGGGCACCTCCTCCATGACGAGCAGATGAGAATCAGTGAGCTGTCTTAGAGTTCCAGAAAGGACTTGCTACTGGGACTTGTAACGTGCTGTGTAAACCATGCACACCCACCTATAACCTTATTTTATTCACTTAACAATGGTGTGAGGTGGGTATTTCCCTTCAATAGCAGAGGAAACTTGATCAGAAGAAAGTAAGTAACCTGGACCAGGTAACATGACCAAGCTGACAGAGTGCAAATGTTCTTTTCACTGTGCAATACTGGGCTGAAGTATACGGCTCCTAACCCACTCCTCTCTCTTCTTTTTTTCCCACTTTTATTGAGGGATAATTGACAAATATAATTGTATATATTTAAAGGGTACAACATTGATAATTAGATATATACAAATTAGATATATACATACATTGTGGAATGGTTACGAATATCAAGATAATGAACACATCCTGTCACCTCAACACATCCTGTCACACCTCAGTTAACATGTATGTGTGAGTGTGTGTACGTGGTAAGAGTATTCAGCTCAGCTCAGTTCAGTTCAGTCCAGTCGCTCAGTCGTGTCCGACTCTTTGTGACCCCATGAATCGCAGCACGCCAGGCCTCCCTGTCCATCACCAGCTCCCGAAGTTTACTCAAACTCATGCCCATCTAGTTGGTGATGCCATCCAGCCATCTCATCCTCTGTCGTACCCTTCTCCTCCTGCCCCTAATCCCTCCCAGCATCAGGATCTTTTCCAATGAGTCAGCTCTTCGCTCAGCAACTTTCAAATACACAATAGTCACCTATTCTTTTATTTATTTATTTATTTTAATTGGAGGCTAATTACTTTACAATATTGTAGTGGTTTTTGCCATACATTGACATGAGTCAGCCATGAGTGTACGTGTGTTCCCCATCCTGAACCCCCCTGCCACCTCCCTCCCCATCCCATCCCCCTGGGTCATCCCAGTGCACCAGCCCCGAGCACCCTGTCTCATGCATCGAACCTGGACTGGCGATCTGTTTCACATATGATAATATACATGTTTCAATGCTATTTTCTCAAATCATCCCACCCTCGCCTTCTCCCACAGAGTCCAAAAGACTGTTCTGTACATCTGTGTCTCTTTTGAATAGCCACCTATTCTTAACTATAGCCACCTTGCTGTACATTAGATCCTCAGAACCTATTCTTCTTATAACTGAACGTTTGTACCCTTTGACTTGTATCTCTTCATTTTTCCTTGCCCCCAGTCTCTGGTGACCACCATTTCTATTCTGTTTCTATCAAATTGTTTTTTTCACCCTAGATTTAAGAGAGAAATGATACCATGGAGCATTTGTCTTTCTCTAGCTTATTTCACTTAGCATAATGCTTTCCAGTTTCATCCATGTTGCTGCAAATGGCAAATTTCCTTCTTGTTATGTCTGAAAAATATTCTGTTGTATATATGTGTGTGTGTGTATATATATATATACATATATATATATATACCTTACCATATAAATATACACACCATATTTTCTCTGTCCATTCATCTGTCAAATGACTTTAGGTTGTTTCTATATCTTGGCTATTATGAATAATGCTGCCATGAATATGGGGTGCAGATGTCTCTGAGAGGTAGTGATTTCATTTCCTTGGATGTGCGCCAGGTCACTCACTCTTTCTCACTGAGCATAGTGAAAGGACAGGCCCTGGAACCTCGCTTCTCTTGAGAAGAAGCATGTTACACTCTTGCTATTCCTCCTGCAAAGGAGCTTACCATTAATTCCTCTCTAGGAGCTAATGCAAAGAAATTTCATTTTGCAGAAAAACACTTTCACTCAACAATTTCTTAGAGGTGTTACAACCTAGAACCAGTAATCCAAACTTGGTCCTCTGATTTTATTCCTGAAGACAGTCCCACCAAGCTTATTCTTCAGTACCCAAACTTATTTAACAGAACATCTGAGAAGAACAGGGACAGGACAGGGAGAAATCTTCTTATGATGGCATGTTTGCTTCCTATATTTCTTCTGGAATCATGTCTGCTTGGCTTACTGATTAAAAACACAGTTTTATTGCTCTCTGCACTGCCAAGTCAATAAATTTCCAGAGGAGAAAGCTGTATTCTACTGTACCCCACGCGACATCAATAAAACTGACAGCCAAATTCTGATTCCAGAATCTTTATTGCTGGGGATAATGCAGTGCAGAACATATTTTGGAGAGTGTTGACATAAAAGCTTCAACTGAACCCTTCAGAACTGTTTATTCATGCAAATGCAGCCCAGAAGCTGAAGCCTCTTAGCAGGCAGCCTCCTCCTCCAGAAGGGAGCACGTGTGGCTCCCAGGAGAGCAGTTTGGCTCAGAGCTGACCAGGGAGGACACCTGAGTGTTTGATTGATAGAGGGATGAGGGAAAAGGAGCAAGGGTTGGACAGAAGTGAGAGAAGCTGTAGATCATCACTGGCTGCTCCTGGTGACTGTGCAACAGCCCTGGTGCAAGATGAAATTTTGTAGAGTTGATGTTACTGCAGAGCAGGAAAGGCTAGTGATGAGAGTGAAAACAGAGTGCCTGCCATAGAAGAGACACTGAACCAACAGCAGGCAGCTTTATGGGTGTGGCTGGCCCCAGAAAAGAGCCTGGGGGTCAGAGAATGGAGAGAGTGATGGGGTGAGACAGGTGCACCAAGCTTTTCACAACAGAAGTATTGTCATGAAGTGACATGGAGAGGGTGGGTCTATGAATCCCAAACAGTTTTCCCCACTGACACATTTTTATTTTAGTGATGTCATGTATTCCTTTCTGATTCATCTTCCAAGGGCAGGAGTTCCGAAGCATTCATGTGTCTGTCCCCTGTATTAAATGTTTGTTCATATGGTCCATGATTTGTTAATAACCATCTCAATGTCTCCCTTTGGATGTGATCCTTTTCCTGATTGATGCTTCTGTGATTCTACCCCTGAAGCCAGAAGCTCTTAGCAATGTGAACAATTGTCCCAATAACCCTGCAGTTCTACTCCTGTATACATCCCAGAGAAGTTCTCACACTGATACTTAAGGAAACCTGCACAAAGATTTTCTTCATAGCATCAAGGGTGTGGAAGGCAACATGAGTGTCTACTACTGAGCGAGGGAATGGTGAAATGTACACACCTACCTAATGGGCCGGCAGGTAGGAGCAAGAGTGTAAAGGTAGACAGAGCAGCATGTGTGGATCTTAGAATCATGGTGTTAAGAGAAATACCTAAGGAATTAATGATATATATGAACAATACTACTTGCAGAATTAAAATACACGCACACCAGACATTAGAAAACATATGAACATACATCAGGATGGTTGCCTGTGGTGCACCTTAGTACCTGGAACCGTGCTCCCCTTGTACTGGTACTTATTTTGGCCTTGATTCCTTATCCTGTACCCTCCCTGGTCTCCCCAGAGTTCATCCAGAAGGAGAGCCTCTGACCTTCCTTCCTGCCAGTCACCAGATCTTGAGCCCTGTATTTCTGCCTCTCAGAAGACACTGCTCACCTGGATAGGTTCCTAGGCGCTATCTGGTTCAGTTCAGTTCAGTCACTCAGTCATGTCTGACTCTGCAACCTCGTGACTGCAGCATGCCAGGCTTCCCTGTCCATCACCAACTCCCAGAGCTTGCTCAAACTCATGTCCATCGAGTTGGTGATGCCATCCAACCATCTCATTCTCTGCTATCTGGTTAGGATCAATGTAATATCTCTCACTGCTGGCTTCTCACTTGCAGACTGGGTCCCATGGCATAGATGCTGACCCTGTGCTGGGGCCACCCAGTGCAGTTGGGTTAATTCCTCTAGTGGATGCTGTGGTAGGCTGCCAAGCTGCCACAGTCTCCTTTTAGGACTGAGGTGCTCTTTGGGAAGCGATAAAGAATCCACCTGCAGTGCAGGAGACGTGGAGACATGGATTCTATCCCTGGGTCAGGAAGACC